AATAAAGGAAATACAATTCCAATAATTATAGTACAGTCAGATATTTGATCACCAAAAGTCAATTCGGAGACCTCAAAACATGGCAACAAGTTTGACACTCCTACCTCGCGCTTCCCCCTAAAACTCCCTTTTATTCCCCTTAAAAAAACCTAGGTATAAGTTTATCAAAAAAAGTGTTAAATTCTGTTTGCTTAATTGCATTTGTTGGTGGACAGTCTATAGCTGAAAATGTGTCCTCTACCTCTAGAATTGTCAGAATTAAAATCGGAAATAGAATAGATATTCTTTAATAATCCCATCAGATCACAGTGTGATATAGGACAAGTCATATAGTACATAAAGCATGATCAACAAGTTATATAGGACAATTACATAAAAATATATGCAATATAGAGCGTCTCTGAACCCGTCGGTCCTCATTCCATGTAGTCTTTTATTAAGTCAAAATAATCATTTAGGTTGTAAACGCATAATTGGATCAAGAATGCTTTTAATTTAATTTTTAATTTTTGAATATTATTTTTATTTTTTATATTAAGTGGCAAACAATTGTAAAATTTAGATCCCGCCAAATTAGGACTAGTTTCAAAGAGAGTTGTGGAGTGTTTACACACGCTTATCAACCTCCCGTGTATTGTCGGGTAATTATGAAAGTCAGAGTTGAGGATAAAATTTTGAAATTTAATTTTGACGTGAATAATACAATTATAAATAAATAAAGCATAAAAAGTCAACAGTCTGTGTTCAATAAAATATTTACGACATGATTGTCTATTATCAATATTGAATATCAATCTAAGAATTCTCTTTTGAGTTATAAAAACTTTAAAAGAGTTTCTAGTGTTTCCCCACAAGACAACATTATAGGCCATGTATAAATTAACCAATGTATAATACACACTTATCAATTGATTGGTGTTAAATAGAGTTTTCAACTGAAGAATCGCATAGTAACCCTTATTTATTGTTTTGCAGACTTTAGTGACATTTTCATCCCATGTCATATTACATTCTAGAATGCTACCAAGAAATAATGTTGTATCACTAAAAGGTATTTCCTCACAACTAACTGTGATGTTATAACCATGGGATGGCTTACAGTGCGAGTAAAACTGTATACAGATAGTTTTCTTTGCATTTACCATTAAAGATTTCCTTTTACAGCAGGTTGTAAATTCCTGTGCTACTAAGTTCATTTTCGATATGAGTTCGACTTCAGTTGACTCGTCAACTACAATTGTTTAATCATCTGCATAAAGAACTGTATGTGTATGGTCTGCAGTTAAAAAAATTTTATCAAATCATTGACATTAGAAGAAATATTAAGGGTCCCAATACGGGGCCTTGCGGTACACCTTGATCAAGATTAAAAACAGATGCCTACTACAGACTACTAAACAGGATAATTACTATTTAAATTATTAATACTTAAATCTGAAATAGACTCCGCGTCATAGAAAACGGGCCACCCCAAATATTTAAAATATTTTCGAAATTATTATTTATTGCTACAAAATTAAGCATTTATTTTTTTGTATATTGAATCAATAACTCGTTTAGTATAAAAATTCATCATTATCGTAAAACATCAATCGAAAATAAAAAATTTAAGAAAAATAGGAAATTTATTAAAAAAATCAACTTACAGTTTTTAAAACAACAATGAACTGTATATTAAAAATAAAGCTGGTATCAATTTTCAGTAATGGGTATTGCCACCTCGATTCTGGATGACACTCCTCATTCGGTTTGGCATGGAATTTATAACGTTTTGGATATCTCTTTGGGGAAAAGTGGTCCATTCCTCAATGAGTGCCATCTGGAGCTCTCCAGGTATTGTTGGAGCAGGTATGCGACGCCTAACGCGACTTTTTAGCAGGCTCCATATATGCTTAATAGGATTTAAATCGGGGCTTTGAGCAGGCTAGTCATTTTTTGAATACCAACCTCGTCAAGGTACTCCGTTACTATCCTTGCCGTGTGTGGTCTCGCATTATCCTGCATTAGCAGGAATTCGTTGCCAATAAATCCAGCATAGGGCATCACATGATGTTGTAAGATTTCCGTTATGTACCTTACTGCTGTTAACGCACCTTAGTCGATCACGACAGGATCCGTATGCGCTTCAAAAGAAATCCCTGCCCAGAACATTATTGAACCACCACCAAAAGCAACCCGTGGTGCCGGAGTGCAACCAGCGAAACGTTCTCCAGCTCGTCTGTACACCTTACTACGTCTGTCTTTACCATAAATAGACATTCTACAATCATCCGTAAATAATACTTTTTTCCAATCGTCTGCTGTCCAATTGATGTGCTCATGGGCAAAATCTAGTCTTCGACTTTTGTGAGCTGGAGAAAGTAAGGGTCCTGTTGCTGAACTACAAGCTGTCAAACCTTGCTACCTTACCTTAATCTTCGCCGAATAGTATAAAGGCTGATTGCTAGTCCTTGAGCTTACTGTAAATGGCCTTGAAGCATTCTAGCGGTTTGGGTCCGATTCCGTAATGCAGCAAGAAGGACGACGCGATCTTCCCTAGCGGTTGTTTTCCTTTTTGAATTCGTACCAGGTCGTCGTTGGTGGGATCCTGTGACAATAAATCATTGCGGGGTCCTTTGTACAGTCGAAGAATTAACATTCAATTGTCTTGCAACTTGTTTTTGAAATAATCCACTTAACAGTAACGTTACAATTACAACCAATTTTTGAAAATTCTCCATCGTTATTAACTGAAGACTACTTTACACTAAGTCGGCTATTGTAATACTAAGATGCGTTTAAAACTTATTAGAATCCTTTACAATATCAAACATTTCTCAAAACAATCGCTTCCTAGAAAGTTGTAAACAACGTTTTCTAAAAATTGTTTTGTTTTATAATATATAAATATATTATAAATCTCAAAATATATCTCAATCCAGTCACAGGGTCGGTTTGCTTTCGCAACAACCCATTTAACTTAAATAACTCAAGACACATTAAAAATAAAATAATGTTAATTCAATATACAACAAACTAAATGCTTCATTTTGTAGCAATAAATAATAATTTCGAAAATATTAAATATTTGGGGTGGCCCGTTTTCTATGACGCGGTGTATTACACTTACCACATTCTAGATTGTAAACATATTCACTATCTGACTCGTATATTTTTACTCTCTCATATAACATCAAAACGAGCTGCTCTATTTCTTGATATCCAAAAAACTTCCTTTTGTTTTTATATCAGTCAACTCTAATAATCTATACATAATTTATCGATTTGGCAATAAGACTGTCTATATTTAATAATTCTTCCTTTATCCTGTCACAGTAAAAAGACCTCGAATTCTTAGAAAATAAACAGAATATAGTTTAATTGGTAACATTTATCTATTTTTAAAATTGTTTTTTAAAAATCGGTATTTTAGAGTATTAACAAATAGAAAAATATCCAACCCACATGTTTTGGAAATTGGTTTACCTCACGGCTCAGTTTTAAGCACTACATTATTTTTACTTAAATAATTTTTTCTGGTATATAGAACCACCAGTTAGGTACTCGATATATGCTGATGATATTATATTATACTGCCAAGGCAGAGTCACAGCTACCATCAGCACTTTGATACAAAATAGATAAAACCAAAATAGACACCAGGCCTACGCGTGCTGGATTTGTGTTTTCAGCTTCTAAATCCAAAGTAATTTACTTTACCACAAACAGACTTCGTTTACAAGCAGTTAACTATTTGACACATCTTGGTATCACCTTTAATAAAAAGCTTATCTGGAAACAACATATTCAAGAACTTAAAAGAAACTGTCCTCAAAGCATCAATTTACTTAAATCTCTTGCTGGCTACTCTTGGGGAGCTGATAAATAATCTCTCCTTAAAATATATAGAGCGTTAATTCGCTCTAAGCTAGACTATGGCAGTATTCGTTATATGGCATCATACTAAAGTCTCTTAATACAATTCAAAATACATCCTACTACTATGTCTTAGTGCTTTCAAATAGAGCCCCGCTAAAAGTGCTTGTGTCGAATCTTTACAGCCATCACTCCATCTAAAAAGGCAGCAACTTCTACTTTCATACTTTGTAAGGATAACAGCATACTCAAGTAACCCGGCAATAAATTTAATCAATCGAATAGAACCTCCCCCAGCAAACGCATCCAACCACTCACTCACTCACTCTAATACTACTCCTATTTATACCACCAACACAGCTCCATGGATGCACAATCTTCCAATATTCCAATTCCCATTCAATTTCAATATCCAATATAATACTGATTTATGCAATTCTCAGAAAATCCTTTCAAAATTTCCTTAACTTATTTCAATTTGATAAAATTTTGTACACTGATGTGTCCAAAAATGAAGAGTGTTGTGGCTATTTTGTGTCCACAATAACGATGACAATAAGCTCTGTGCGCCTACTCAGAAATTGTAGTATGTATACCGTAGAATTATTTTTAATACTCCAAGCATTGAAGACTTCAATTCTACTTCAAATGAAAGCAAAACAACTGCCATTTATACTGATTGCCTTTCCTCGATTCACTCCATAAGATGCATTCTTTCCAAATGTGTACCAGTTCAGGAAATACACACCATCTGCAACCAACTATATATTGCCAACATAACAGTTATAATGATCTGGACTTCATCTCATGTTGGTGTATTGGGAACCAAAAAAGCAGACCAGGCCGCTAAAGCGACATGTTCTTCCGACTCAGCCTCCAAAGAGGTTCAAACTGTCGAGAGACTCGTTAATTTTAAATAATAAAAAAAATGATCCTGTTCCGGAAAACTATGTAGTATGGAATAAAATGTTTGCTTGAGTTTTAGATTGCATGAGTCTTTCTAAAATATAAATAAAAAATTGGTTTAAAAGTTTATTTAAAAATTACATATTTATATTAAACATAAATAATTCTATTTTTAATCAGCTTTAACCGCGAGATAAGCTTATTTTGTAATTACTTCAATAAAAATATAATGTGGTCGCTTAATCCACGTCCAATTTTTTGAAATTCCCATAGTATCCCAAAATTTCTGAATTTTCCAGTGGTTCCGGCCTTAGATCTTCATTTACCCTCATTTTTGATTTTTTGTCAAATCTATCAGACCATATGATAAACTCCTCTTTCCACAATTCTAAAAATAATAATAAATTTATTGGTAAGGGATAAATTATTAGAGAATAATAATAATAAACGTTCAAAGTGGTTACAAAATCATTTGATAAAAATACGTTTATTGACGTTTCAATTTCCAATTCGGAAATCGTTCTCAAAATACAAACAGTAAATTAAACAAATTTTGTTTTTTGTTACATTGTGTGTAACATATAACACTATGTAACAAAAAACAAAATTTGTTTAATTTACTGTTTGTATTTTGAGAACGATTTCCGAAGTGGAAATTGAAACGTCAATAAACGTATTTTTATCTTTAATTGTGGCTTATTCCCAGTTATAAATAGTAATTAATTTACAATGCCACAAGAAAATCATTTGATTTAATATGTAACAAACTTTTGACGTTAATTTAATAAAAATAGTAGAGTAATATTTTGAATGAACAATAAGAGTTTGAATGAACAATGCTATAAAGAGTCTTAAAAATAACAAAAGACCAGGCAACGATAACGTATACGGGGAAGTATTGAAAATGCTGCGCGAAACAAACTGTCAATTTCTAGACTCACTCGTCAGACTCTTTAACAATATTTATAGCAGCGGGGAGTTTCCTGAAAACTGGCTAGAGTCAACTTTTGTTGCCATACCGAAAAAACCAAAAGCAAAGTCTTGTGATCAACATCGGATAATAAGTCTAATTAACCACATTTCGAAGGCATACACCAAGGTTATTTACAACAGAATAAGCAAAAAATGCGAGGATAACATTGGAGATTCGCAGTTTGGGTTTCGGAATTTCTTGGGACAAGAGAAGCACTTTTTAATCTACAGGTACTCATCCAGCGCTGCAGAGATATGAACAAAGACGTGTACGTATGCTTTATACACTACGCAAAAGCACTCGATAACGTAAAGCACGAAAAGATAATTGAAGTTCTCCATAAGATCGGAGTCGACTACAGAGACATTCGAACAATAGCGAGTCTCTTTTGGGGTCAAACAGCTAAAGTGAAAGTAGGATCTATATTGACCAATAAAATTGAGCTCAAGAAAGGGGTACATCAGGGCTGTATCTTGTCTCCTATTCTCTTTAATATATACTCAAACGAAGTATTTAAGACAGCGCTGGAGGAAAGCACAGAAGGCATAAAGATAAATGGAGGAATAATTAATAACATAAGGTATGCTGATGATACTGTGATTCTAGTAAGTAGCATGGAGGAACTGAGTTGCCTAATGAGTAAGATACAAAAAACAAGTGCACAATACGGACTCATACTAAATATCACAAAAGCCAAATGTATGTTAGTAAGTAAAAACCCAACTACCACCACAGCAACTGATATTAGACAATGAAAGAATTGTACATCATCTACTTGGGAACAACAGTTAACTTAAATTGCCTTCGAACTTACCCTTAAGATGCCTTCGAAATGTGGGCTCACCGACGTATATTACGTATATCCTGGACTGAGCACGTGACCAACGAAGAGGTACTACGCCGGATAGGTAAAGAGAGAGAGAAAGAGGTAGGAATAAGTATAAAGAAAAGAAAGTTGGAATACTTGGGTCACGTTATGAGACATAATAAATATAGAGTACTCCAGCTAATCGTTCAAGGGAAAATAGACAGCAGAAGGGGTCCAGTGAGGAGAAGACACTCGTGGCTCCAAAACTTGCGGCAATGGTTCGGATTGTCAACTATTCAGATCTGCCGTAAACAAAGTCAGAATAGCCATGTTGATTGTCAACGTTTGGAAAGGACAAGGCACATGAAGAAGAAGAATAAGAGTTTCCCCTTGTCTTATTTAAATCTTAATAAATATTGGAATAAACTCCTATGATCTAAGAATTAACAGAATTAACATTAACATCTTTACTAGAATCAAACATCGTCTATCCGTACAGAGACAGGAGAATCCCATGATATCAAAATCAAACGTGGGGTCCAACAGGGATGTATACTATCACCCTTGCTGTTCAACATATACTAGACTGAGAAAATCTGTCAAGCAGTAGATGTTGAAGCCGGAATTCGAATTAACGAAGAATGTATTAATAACATCACATACGCGGATGACACGGTAGTATTCGCTGACAGTTATGAAGCCGTCTAGAAGTTATTGAATAGAATCACAGAAGTGTGTCAGAGATATGGACTTTCACTGACATTAAGAAAACAACATATATAATAATCTCTAAGAAGAAACAGCAAATTGAAAGAATCACTGTGAATGGTCAACCAATAGAAAGAGTTAAAAGATACACCTACCTTAAATATCAGGTTATTACGATGTTATTTGTAACGAAAATATTTTGCCTACCTCAAGGTAAGATTATGGGGGTAGAAAATTGGCGACAGAAACTAAGGGGGTTGAGATAGGGCAAGTAAAATAATCGATTCTTCGGCATATGGCACTCAGGGGTTAATTAGAGAGCTGGGTCATGGATAAGTTGAATAACAAAGGGGTCGGATTGGGGTAAATACACAAAAATGAAACAAAGGGGTACTTACATACATCCCCTAGACAACTGAGCAAATATGACAACAAGGAAGGACTTCTAGCAATTTAAGATAAGGGCGCCGCTTCGAAGGATCCTAGCCTTGCTGAAAGAAAGAAAAAAGGCCCTTCTTTCCTCTAATTCACATAATATTTTACACTGAAACCTCTGAGGATTAAACGGGAATTTACTGGAACCTCTGCTATACAGAAGGACAGCTTCAAACTGGATTGGAAAAATGACCACAGACAAATAAAATTGAGGTTGGAATCAAGTCAACGGTACATAGTGGGCACACCCTATATACTGCTTTAAATACCCTTCATATTCTGATACAGTGCACAAATCCCTCAAATATTTACCAAAAATATTTAGTGGTTACTCTTTCTTATGTCATATTACAGAGAGTAAACGTCCACACATTTGCCGGTCTAGACTACTCAAATCATTATATTATTTTTCTATAACTTAAACTTCCTACAAGTCCGTCAAACATGACATCGTTCCCAAACCTGCCTGCTTGTCCTTCTCGATCTCAAAACCAAACGCAAATCACATAACTTTGGATCTGCTTCCGGCGTTAATGCGCCTTAGAAAAAAAGAACACAAGACTTTTCAATCTTTTTTTCTAGGAACGTCGAACTTAAAACGCAATGTATCGATCATTTTAAAATTCCTTTGCAAACAGATGAACGAAAAAATTTATATCTCGGACAGAGGCGTACTACAAAATTTTATACATAAATATTTCATAGTTAAAAGAAATTTAAAACGCTACAATGTCTTTTCTATACTGTTGTAGGAGTTAAGTCGTGGACTCTTACAGACGCTACCTGCAAGAAGATTGAAGCTTTCAAAATGTGACTTTATCGTCAAATCCTAAAAATATCGACAACGTGACTAAATAGGATGTTTTATTAGGAATGAAAAAAGGAAAAGAGTTGTTAACCACAATAAAAACAGCCAAAATCAAATACCTCTGTCACATTACGTGGAACAGGATTATATATACAGGTTACAGCAATTAATTCTATAGAGAAGAGTAGAAGGAAAACGTGGACCAGGAAGGCGAATGATTTCCTGACTGAAAAATCTACGTACGTGGTTCAACACAACAACAACAAATCTTTTCAGAGCAGCTGTTTGCAAAATTGAGATTGCCATTATGGTCTTAACTTCCGAAACGGATAAACACTGCAACACGAAGAAGTATTTAAGTCTCCATCTTGTTCTTTCTTTCCAATGGCTCTCTTTTAGATCTCTTTGGTACATATCGAGGCCATGAACATTGTGGTGTTCTTTTGTTCTTTCTCTAAAAACGTATGTTACTATTTTTCTTCTTTATTGCTCATAATCTATCTATCATCAATATAGATTTTAAATTAGATGGAGCCGAGGTACACTGTTTTGTAATGGTAGACAAGTAGGGGAGTGCTTAACGGAGATCGACTCAATTTCTGAAGAACAAAGCTCATCTAATGAACTTATAGAGTTAGCAGCAATTGAAGGAGAGGGAGAAATATTTGTTAAATAAACAGCTAGGTCTGGTCTACTGTAGACTTTGGGACAAAAAGCTACAATATCTCTTGTGATAATTTATTATTTAAGTCGTTTATATTATTTTCTGTTTCAGGACTACCAAGTATATCGGAAATACATTGCTGAAAACTATCTACATTTGATGGTTTCATATATCTATCATGGTTTTGATTTGCTCTTATTTTTAGTTCTATTTTACCTTGTACTATTCTATGATCGCTACTTTTGATCAAAAATTTAAACTATTATATACAAAATTTAAAGAATGAGATACTAATTCGTTATTAAATTCGTTATTAATTTGTAAAGAATATTAATTCGTTATTACCATTCAGTTCGTCCATTGACTTTTGTTTTCCGCCATAATCTTTTGGCAAGACCTCGGGAGAAATATGTTTGTAGAGACTCTCCAAGTTTTCATGTAAATATACCTGCAACAAATGTTTATCATATTAAACTAACCATAATAAACTATATTATATGTTAACCATATTAAACCAAAGAACTAATGAGAACATACGAAACCCTCTATTCCACTGACCCTTTTAGCCAAGAAACGGTTGGCTACGGAGCAACTACTCCAACAGCTAAGTCAAGCCAGACAGGAAAAGTGGATTGAGACCCTGGAAAAAATGGACATGACACATAGTAGCAAACTAGCATGGAACCTTGTAAAAAAACTCAGCGGTGATCCAAAAGAACATAAACCACCTTGCAAGGTTACAGCAAACCAAGTCGCTACTCAACTCCTTACGAATGGAAGAACTACTAACCGATATAAGGACCCAAACACTAGGAGAAGATTGGATTTGGAGACAAATTACCTAGGAACTCCTATTTCACTAAAAGAACTCCACGACGGTCTGAACAGGTTAAAAAACGGGAAAGCTGCAGGTGTCGATGATATATGCAGTGAACAAATAGAACATTTATTATTACAAAATCATGGAGAAAATCTAAAGTAATAGTATCCCAGTAGCTACAGACCTATTTCGCTATTGTGTCACTTTTTTAAACTATACGAGAGACTCATACTCGCCAGAATAGTAAAAAATGTCGACAAGCACCTTATCCCACAACAAGGAGGATTCAGACCTGGCAAATCTTGCACCGGTCAAGTCCTCGCATTAACAGAACACATTGAAGAGGGCTTTGAAGAAACACTTATAACAGGGGCTGCTTTTGTAGATCTGACAGCAGCCTATGACACAGTAAGGCACAAAACATTGCTCCGCAAATTATACGACACTCTCAATGACCACCATCTGGGAAAGGTCGTATATTCCTTACTGCAAAATAGACGTTTTTTCGTTATGCTGGAGGGTGAAGTAAGTAGGTGAAGAGTTCAAAAAAACGGCCTCCCACAGGGAAGTGTTTTAGCACCAACGCTCTTCAATATTATACACAAACGACCAACCTACTCCGACCGAAACCAAGCACTTCCTCTATGCTGACGATCTTGCAATATGTGCTCAAGGAAATAGTTTTGAAGAAGTGGAGGAGAAACTAGAAACTGCCTTAAAAACAATGACAGCGTACTTCCTGCAGAATTCTCGTATACCCAATCCCTCTAAAACTCAAGTGTGCGCAAGTTTTCTTATAATAGATTTCATAATATTTGTCTGGTGACTTTATAAAAGCATTGGCACCTAAGTCTAGCTCAACTTGACCAAAACCTCGATTAGCTGGTATAAACGAATGGCCACAAACAAAAGCTACTCAAAAGCTACAATGTGAGTGCATGTACCATGTGGAAATTTTACTCTGACTCCGTCATCCATCGGGAAACAATATTAGATGTTTAATATCTGGGTTAAAATAAGTCTTTTTTGAAGCTAGTCAACGCGGATCTTATTTCTACCACACCTCTTCTTGTTTCATGCTCAAGTAATGTAGGAAAAACAGCAGTTTTTGTTAAAATATCTGTCACGTCAAATGCATGACTGACTATAACTTAATGAAGTAACAGCAATCTATCAAAACTTTCGCATGTTTAATGATATTTAGGAAACATATCTGAAAGGAAATTAAATAAATAAAATTACTTTTAAAAATATTTACAAAAATTGATGTCTGCGGTTCACTCTGTACAACACTCGCGTTTACGAAGGTTAAGCCGTTATATAGCTCGCTTGCATAATTTCTTATATTTACTAGAATATAACAGCAGTTTTTTATCCTGAGTGGTTTGGTGTACAAGTCACAGAACTCCAGATAATCGATCATCCATTTAGCCAATTTCTTCTGGTAGAGGTTCATTTCATTATTAATTTTATTTTACATTTTATCTAGAAATATTTCATTTTTGCCCATTATGACAAAAAAGAAAACCGCCTATACGCTATTAGAAAGATAAATCTTTTTTACTTACCCTGTCATATAGCTTCTTTTTTAAAATACCTTTGGCAACTGCCATTACTATATTAATATATGGAGGATAATGAAAAATATGAATTTCTTTTATCCGATTTCTCATTATGTTCTGTAACAAAAAGAGAAAGTTTTTAGAACCTGTTTTATTTTTGATTACCAAAACAAAATTGAAAAATTTTAATTTTTATTCCGATTATCTTCTTCTAGTTCCATGACCGTTATCGATCGTTGGATATCATGTTGGCTACCATGTTCGCTATCGTGACTTTATTGACAGCAGCTCTAAATAACGATGTAGATGATTTTCCATACCATTGCCTTAGATTTTTCAGCCATGATGTTCTTCTTCTACCAGGACCACGATTACCTTGGATCTTTCCCTGAATGATCAGATGTAAAAGATCATATTTTTCAGGGTGTCTCATAATATGACCGAAGTATTCCAGCTTGCGTTTCTTTATTATATTGACCAGTTGTGCTGTTTGGTTCAGCCGTCTAAGGACCTCCTCATTTCTAACTCTGTCGACTCAGCTTATTTTCAGTAGTCGTCTGTATACCCACATCTCAAAGGCTGTCAAGCGTTTAAGCATAGCCTCAGTTAGGGTCCACGCTTCTACTCCATACAGCAGGACAGGAAAGATGTAGCAAGATATCATACGAACTCTAAGGTCAATGCTAAGATCGTGACTGCAAAGTACGTTTCTCATTTTTACAAAGGCAGCTCGGGCTTGTTCTATGCGGCTTTTAATTTCTGCGGTTGGATCCCAGCTCTCATTGATATTACTGCCGAGATACACGAGTTTCTCTACTCTGTCCAGTGTGGCATCTCCAACTTTTATACCGTCATCATGTATATAATTTTGTTTGCTAACTATCATATATTTAGTTTTCTTAACGTTAAGTTTTAATCCATATTGATCACAAGTCTGTTTTATTTTGTTCATTAGATTTTGAAGGTCTTCTCCGCAATTGGCAAGGATTAAGGTATCGTCGGCATATCTAATATTGTTGACGGTTACTCCATTCACAATAATACCTTCGGTTGTCTCCATTAAGGCTTCTTTAAATATTTCCTTCGAATATAAGTTAAAAAGTAAAGGCGACAATATACAGCCTTGTCTCACTCCTCTTTTTATATTTATTTCATCCGACAGTTCTTGTTCAACCTTTATTTTTGCCACTTGATGCCAGTATAGATTTGTAATTATTCGTAGATCTTTATCGTCCAATCCAGCTGTTTCCAATATTTCTAGCATTTTGTTATGTCGGACTTTGTCAAAAGCTTTTTCAAAATCGATTGCACAAATATACACATTTTGATTTATATCTCTGCATCTCTGTACTAGCACCTGTATACTAAACAAGGCTTCTCTTGTACCCAAGCCACTCCTAAAGCCAAATTGAGTATTGCTAATTCTGTCCTCTAACAGCGTGTAAATTCTGCTGTGTATTACTCGCAGAAAGATTTTCAAAATGTGACTCATCAGACTTATTGTCCGATAATCACCGCATGTCTTTGGACGATGTTTCTTAGGTATTGTGACAAATGTCGACTTTAACCAATCAGTTGGTAATATCCCAGTGTCATAAATTCTGTTAAAGAGATTACACAGAGCTCTAATTCCATTTTCTCTCCAAAAACTTTAGTATTTCAGCACTTACTTCATCGGGGCCAAGTGCTTTTTCCATTTTTTGCCGTTTGTATTGAACGTCTTACCTCACTTTCTGTTATAGATGGACCTGATATAGCAATCGGTGTATAGTGTTCTACTCTCTCATCTTCAAATAATTCAGAAATGTAGTTGTCCCATTCTTTTAACTGTTCATTGATGTCTAATATTCTGTGTCCGTTTCTATCTTCTAAACTTTGGGATATTGTTTCCGTTTGTTTCCAGCGACCTCTTTTAATTTTTTGTGCAGATGAAATGTATCGTGTTTGTTTTTATATTTTTCAATTTCATTACATTCTTTACTATGAAATTGTGTTTTCGCGTGTCTTATCTTCTGCCTGTTTATTGCGTGGATCCTCTTGTATTCGTTTTTATCTTTATTTCTGACTTCTCTTCTTTGATCCATAAGTCTCAGTATTTCTTCTGTCATCCACCCTTGTTTTTTTCTTGCTTTTAGCGCACTCAATTTTGTTTCTTGGACAGTCTTTAAGATGTCTTTAATTCTCGTCCAGTTTTCCTCAGTACTTTCTTCTTTGCTTGATGTTAACTTCATCTTTTGTTCTAATATACTAGTTATTTATTGTTTTACAGTATCATTTTGCATCGTTTCTCTATCAATAGTAACTGTTTGCTTATTCGTCCTTGCAACTCTTTTTAATCTCAGTCTTATTTTTCCTACTAAAATATTGTGATCTGTTGGTACATCTGCCCCTGGATATGTTTTTACTGATAATACTGAATTTCTGTATCTCTTATTCCAATTATATGCAATGCAAATACAAGTAAAGGAGTACAGGTAATGCTATGTATAGAAAATATTGGTTTGATGAAGGAAGAGCTTTGATAAGTTCTGTTCTTACCAGTAAGTGTGTTCAGCTCTCAATTTTTTTTTATTTAGCTTTACGTGTCTCAACAGCGTAGATCACTGACACTGACACATTAAATATTGGTACAATTAATAATTATCAAATTCAAAACTACGCTTCTTCTTCTAAATTTCCTGGTATAGCCTGGTTTCATAGAGGGTTTGGAATTTATCTGGTGGGCTGAGAATATTTTGTAGATTTTATCTCAAAAGATTTTTTTTCTGGCGTTTTTGAAATAGGGACAGTCTACGAGAATATTTTTAACAGATGAAATATAACCACAGTATGTACATGTAGGTGGATCTTAAGAAGTCATTAAATGTTTATGAGTTAGTCTTGTATGGCCGATTCTAAGTCGGCAAATTAAGATTTCGTTTTTTTGAGTCATGGAAGGAAACTCAAGCTTTTTACGGCTGGGATGAATATTAATGGATGGAAGCTTGAAAGGGATCTTTTTCCGGTATATATATAAGTTATTTGTATATGTCCATTTTCTTCGATTTTCTGTATTATCTTTATAATTTTATACCTTTGTACTTTTTAAATTATATTTGGACGGCGTTATGCATAACTCGACCAAGCGCCATTTCTTTAAAATCGAGATTTCAACAGATTCGGGTGACACATAGCTAAAACTATCTTGGAAAAAAAGCCCTGTTATTGTCACGTTAACGGTCGCTAAAATAAACAAAGTTAAACCAAGCGACATGCTGTCTATGATGGGTTTTTTGTTTTGCATAACAAGACTATATTTTTAACTGCCATTCTTAGTTTTGCAATAATAGACTAAGCGCCGACTAAGCGTCTTTGATCTGGTTATGCCAAACCAAGCAGTCTGGTCAGAATAACATTAAATTTGTTTAATACTCAAGCAAGTATTATATTATTGTGTACGCAAATCAAAGTATTTTAACTGTATTCTTATTCGTTATTGTGTATTATCTGTTACTGAACTTTTAAATTGTGGAGTTATCTTCGAATATGAGCAGGTTTCAGTTGAGAACAGAAAAAATGGTTGCACTTTGTTTAAACAACAAAGCAGCATCTTTCCAGGTAAGAAACTATAGATCAGTTTCTAGGTTAACCTCAAAATTTATTTTAGACTATGTATTATAACAGAATCAGTTTGTTAGAGATTTTGCAAATGTAAATTCTATAATGGATCGGAATATTCTTTATTTCTGTCAGCTACATATGCTGTTTTTTTTAGGAAAATGAACAAGATACACATACTGAGGAACTAACCACAACTTCTGTACTAGATACTAGATAAATGAACTTCAAGAACATTTTTTAAATAAAAATTTAGTGCCTTGTGATCTTGATACTGATCAAATCAATGTGAGTGTAGAGTATCATGATATCTCGGAACATGAATCGAATGATGACAATCTTAAAAATGTTGTTGATAAAGGCAGGGCTTCCAATCATCAGTTTTTAGACGGCGTGATAGAAAATGTAAATGAAGAAACGTACTGTTTAAGGTTTGAAAATATTACTTATAATGTAAGTGATGCTGATCAAGTCAGTAATTTTGTTAAAGACCTCAATAACATGGCTTCTAATGATAATGACCAGGCTATGAACCAGGCTATAGACAGCATGTGAGCAAATGTAAATAGGGAAACGTTGCCATCTTCAAATAATGTTGTTGAAAATATTATTTCTGTTTTAAATGAAAAACACTCTCCCAAGAGTAGACCAAAAAAGGGTAGGGAAAGAAAAAATGCCAACTAAAATAGAGAAATAAGGAAAAAGTTTTGTGTACAAAACAAAGATTAGTTTACACAAAAGAATACATTAAAAAAATGTAAAGAATTTCGTTATTATAATAACTTTCCTTGCAAATGTTTGGAAACTATCGGAGAAGAAAATGCTCTAAACGAATTTAATAAATTTTAAAATGTTCAATCACATGATGCCCAGCGCGCATTACTATGTTCGTATGTCCAAGAAGTCGAAATCAAAAGAAAACGACTAAAAGTATCAACTACTAGAAAATTTAGTAGAGTGTATAAATTATGTGGCAAAACTGTTTGTAAAAATTTCTTTTTACAAACGCTAAGAATATCAAGTTGTAAAGTTGATTCAGCTTTGAAAAACATGAAGCGATCAGAAGGAGTTCGTGACTGTCGGGACAAAAGTGGTGGTAAAAATAAGACTTATCCCATTCGACTTCAGGAAGTTATGGACCATATTCACAAATTTCCCAAATACGAGTCCCATTACAGACGATCAATCACAGAAGCAGAATTTCTTACAGAAGAAACAACTGTTGCAAAAATGTATGAGTTGTACTCCGAAGAATTGAGAAATCCAGTGAGTTTTTCTTTATATAAACAAATTTTTTTGGCAAAATTTAACCTTCGCAGGAAAAAACTTAAGAAAGATACTTGTAATGTGTGTGATCGTTTAGAAAATGAAATAAAACATTGTGTGGATAATAATAAACTACTGATTTTAAGAAACGAAAAAGATTTACATTTGGAAACAGCAGAAAAAGCACAAAATAAAGAAAAGAAGACATGCTTGCAGCTAAGAATCAGCTTGATACAGAAACTCTATGTTTTGATCTAGAGAAAACTCTGCCTCTTCCTAGAATCCCGACTAATATAGTCTATTATAAAAGGCAGTTGTGTGTGTACAACTTAGGCATACACAGTTGACAAACGAACAAAGGACATTGCTATGTTTGGATTGAAGGAGAAGCAGGAGGGGTGCTCAAGAAGTTGGCAGCTGCCTTAGAAAACACATTAAAGAAAATGTGACTTCCAAGAAATTATTCTTTTGGTCTGACTCATGTGGTGGCCAAAACCGCAACATCAAGATTATATTAATAATGAAAACAGTTTTGGAAAGTCACCCTACTCTTGAACAAATTACATTGAGGTATCTTCTCCCATGACACAGTTTTCTACCTAACGACTCAGATTTTGGAGATATCGAATCTGCACTCAAACTGCAACAACGGTTGTATGTTATGTCGTAAAAAAATCCTTTAGTTGTGCACAGAATTACAAATGAAGAGTTCGTGGGAACAGAAATATTGGAAAAACAAATTACCAATCGTAAAACTGATGTTACAAATGGTAAGGTGAGTTGGCTCAAAACAAGGGAAATTAACAAAACAAAAAAGAAAAACCTCGTACCATTTTAATGAAAAGTGACTTTAATCAGGATACTTTCATAGAAATAGACATTTCTAAAAAACAAGGGAAAGGAAGACCCATTATTCAATATCTCCGCAATTTTAGTGAACACTTGGTTCAACTCTGGCCACAAGGTAAACCTATTTCTAAACCAAAATTAGACGATCTAAAATATTTACTGCAATTTATACCATTGGATGCAAAACCAGTTTATAAGTCCTTATTTAGTAACAATGATGTGGAAGTAGACCAAGCGCCATTTTATTTTTTTTTATTGAATATGGTAGGTGCAATTATATTGAAACTTTGCAGCCAAAAATAGTTGTACGTGATCATTCTTCTGCTAAAATTTTGTGCAAATAATGTATTTTTAAGAAAACAAAAACTTTGAACCCGTTTATCTCAAAACTATGTTTTGGCGCTTGGTCGAGTTATGCATAACGCCGTCCATTTAATAATATTATTTAATCTTACTTTAATTACCCATTTGTTAAAGAAAACAAAAATTGGTCGCCATTTTTAAAACTTAATAGGGAAATAATAAAGTTTGTCTAAGAACTTACTTGTAAAATTAAAACCATTGTTTTAAACACAATTGGTGTGTATTTGAGCACATGACCCATTTTTAGATTACTTCCATCCATTATAAGAACTTCACCCATTACTAAATCCACGTGCGTCCTTATTTCGTACACATTTTGTAGATGAGATACCAGCATAATCGGATCAAAATGAGTAGAGTCTTCTTTAATAGCAAATATTGATACTCGTTGTAAAGAATCTGTTAACTTCGGCATGGGTACTATCATTCTACAAAGTTGAGAACACAATTAATATTCAGCGATACAGTTTTTTCAAATTTGTAAATACGCTACCTTAGGCCAAAGTGAATGACTTTTAGAATATTAGCTTGTACGCTTCTATTATTCATTAGTTGCTATCAACAATTCCTTACAGAAACTATATCTAAGAGCCATAGCAACACCAGTGGAGTCCTATGTTAGCATCTAGCTAATTCCGTTTATAACTTAATTAATAATTAATTTTAGTTTCTTAAATGACCACTTGCCGGTAATTTATTTCTCTCCCAGTCATAAATATTGATTTAAATCTCTTGAAGTACTTACCCAAAGTTTTCAACTTTTTTTTGGTAACCCGGTAAATTGGGATGTCCCTTTTCGTACACCTCCGGTATTAATGGAGGGAGTGTGTAATACATATCAATATTCTTTTTTGCCTTTTCTATGCTATACTTGCAGTTAGTAAGAAAAAATTCTAACATGTTGTCATCTAGAAAAAAAAAATTCCAGTAATTTTAATATAATTTTCACGACAGTATGTTAATATTAGGTAATAGCAGGACTACAGGTCGCAAAGAAAACAAGTACTAAAGAAGACAAAATAAGCAATGAAACTAAACAGCCAATGATGGAAAGAAGACAACTACTAGCGCAAAACAAACGCCATACTCAAGAATATAGAGAACTAATAAAACAATCAGAAAACAACTGAAACGCGACATACAAAAATTGAACGAGAACTTAATAGAGCGAATCATTGAAAACAACAGAGGCTTAAAATGTCTAAGGCCCACACTGGGAGTTCAAAAAATCATCCAAATTAAAGACGCTAACAATAAGGTAGAGAAGGACAATTATAAAATAACAAATATTGATGAAGCATCCTTGTACAGCTCGCAAGGTCAGCCTAATGAAACAACAAAGGAGAACGTTAAAAGAAAAATAAAACACGTGGGATCAGAAGTACTACCAAATATAAAGGGATACGAAATAGAAAGAGCATTAAAAGAACTAAAAAATAATAGAACTCCAGGACACGACGGTATAATTGCCGAGCTCTTGAAAACAAGCAAAACATTAACAATCCCTGTACTAACAGAGCTATTTAATAGATGTCTCCATAATAGCCAGATCTCTAAAGACTGGAACGAGAGTCTAGTAATACTTTTACACAAAAAAGGGGACAAATGTGATCTACAGAATTATAAACCTATATCGTTGCTCAGTCAAGTATACAAACTATTTATGAGAATTATTAATAACCGGTTAACCTACAAAATGGATAAATACCAACCGGTTGAACAGGCTGGCTTCCGCAAATGATATAGTACATCAGACCATCTGCTGACAATGAGAACATTGATAGAGAAGGCAAATGAATACCAACTACCCGTATTTCTTGCCTTCGTCGACTATGAAAAGGCGTTTGATAGTATCGAGATGTGGGCCATAGAACAAGCTATCAATAATTGTAGAATAGACTCGAGATATAGGCAACTAATACATAATATATATGAAAATGCAACTATGATAGTACAACTAGACAAAAATACAAATCCCATTCTCATTAAGAGAGGTGAGTGAGACAAGGAGACGTAATATCGCCAAAACTTTTCAACCTAGCCCTAGAAGACGTCTTCAAAACTACAAATTGGTCAACCTAGTTAAACCACCTCAGATTCGCTCACGACATAGTGATTATAGCGAGCACATTCGAGGAACTGCAAATTATGTTGGAGGAACTAGCAGCCAGCTCCCAACACGTCGACCTAAAAATGAATATGAAAAAAACAAAAATTATGACAAACACAGAAGACCCCAGACATAAAACTATAAACGGCAGTGAGATAGAACAAATCCAGGAATATATCTACCTAGGCCAAATCCTGAGACATAGAAAAAGTCGTTAAAAATATATATCGTTTTGAATGTTGTTGTGTTACTTTTAGCTTAAGATATAGTATGTGTTGTCTTATTAATATTTACATAGCCCATTTGGCGATATTGAGGTATTTGCAAACAAACTTAACTCGTGTCTAAATTATTGTTTTAAACATTTTAAAACCACTATTTTATGCGGCGATTTTAATATAGATTTTAATATAGAATTTCTAAAATTAAATTAGATTATTTTCTTACAAAGTTGTCACATCAATATCAAAAAACTATCAAAGATTTTATTTTGGAAGATCATTTTGGTTTGGAATTTTTGTTATTAGATGCTAAACCAAAAAAAGTACAATTTAAAATAAGTCAAAACGTAACATTCAGAAATCTTTCCCAATCGAATTTATTAAATTTACAAAACAGATTTTTTACTGCAAATTTTTGAACAGGTTTACGAATATCTCGATAATGAGAATTTGCCATTTGAAACATTTTTGAAGGTACTCACGTACCATATTAACATAGCTTGTCTAATGGAAATTGATTGCCCAAATAGAGGAGGAAAATGATTTGAGAAGTCTTTTTTGGCTATTAAACAATTCTAAAAATATAGACATTCATTTAAGATATAAAGAAAAAAAAAAAACAATAGGTCGAACTTATCGACGAAACAAGAAAGAGTTTCTTTCAAAATAGTTTAGAATGTAAGAATACTATACAGCAAAAGCAGAAGTTTATATGGCGTACGGTTAATAAAAAAAGGTAAGACGGTAAAGCATAATAATTGGGATAAAATCCAATTTGCTGATAAAGTTGAGATGACAAACGCTTTTGTAGAGCATTTTACTACTTGCCCTAAAATTAAAATCATAAATATTTTTAAAAATACCAATTTTGATCATTATACCACACAACATGTAGATATATCCTTTTCTTTTTTTCCTGTAGATGAGTATGATGTTAGAGAGGTTATTGGCTCCTTGAAAAATGTTACCTCAGTAGGTATTGATTGCATTTCAACTAAATTAATAAAGTGTATTAGTGAATATATAGCGCAAACCCTTGCAAATTTAATAAATTTATCAGTAGAACAGGGTGTTTTTCCACATAGCTTAAAGGTAGGAGTTGTAACTCCAATATTCACAAATGCAGATAATTCAATTTTAGATAATTACAGGCCAGTTACAGTCCCTACTATTTTGGGCAAAATTTATGAAAAATGTGTATACAAAAGAATGTATAGATTCCTTAGTAAATACAATATATTATGTGCCAACCAACACGGATTTCTACCTGGAAGATCAACAGAGAGTGCTACCACTGAATTGATTAGTTTAATTCACATCGCACTAGATCGGGGAAATTTTGTAAGGGCACTTTTCTTTGATCTCTCAAAAGCATTTGATACCATAAACGTAAGAGTTGCTATAGAGAAGTTAAAAAATCTTGGTTTTAGGGGTCAGTTCTCATTATGGCTGTCATTTTATTTACATTCTAGGAAGATCCTAGTTAAACTTAATGACACACGATCAGATTGTGGTGATATTGGGGTTCCTCAGGGTTCAAAATTTGGGCCATTAATATTCCTATGCTATATTAATGATATGGCCAGATGTCAGTTCCAATAGCATATTTATGTATGCAGATGATACAATCATTGCTAAATCTGCTTCAAGTGCCGAGGAATTAACTATTCAACTGAATGTTATATCAGATTTTAAATGCTTTGATTGTTAATGCTAAAAAAACCACAAGTATGCAATTTTACTATAGATCAAATACAAGTTACCAGTTTTCTATAAAAGTAAATAATAGCCTGGTTTATTCTATAACTTCCAGCAAACTTTTGGGTTTGTATCTGGATAGCAACATGAGCTGGGAATCTCAAATTAATCATGTTTGCAAAAGAATAAATAGTAGTTATTACGCAATATTGCAATTCAAAAGTTTTCTTAAAAAGGAACAGTTATTGAATGTTTATTATGCAATTGTTTATTCTCACTTGGCCTTCAATATAAATCTTTGGGGTAGTGCTGTGAATGCCGCAAGACTGTTGTGTCTCAGAAAAGGATAATTCGGTTAATTTTTAATTTACCATATAGGCATTCATGTCGACAATATTCTAAAAAAATACAACATTTTAACAGTACCTTCTATATATATTTTTAAATGTATACTACATATAAAAACCAATATAACTACTTTTCATTTAAACTCTGATTATCATCAGTACTCAACTAGGCAAAATGACTTCATCAGAGTACCAAAACATAATACAGCAGATTTAAAAAATCCCAGTATTATATGGGTATAAGACTTTCCAATCATCTTCCTAACAGTATTAAATCTGAAAGCAATTTAAATAAATCTCGAGGTAAATTAAAATCTTTTCTATTGCAAAATTGTTTCTACAGTGTAAGTGAATATCGGTGTGATCTAACTAATTAATCTTATGCATAACATTTTTCAAAGTAAAACACTTGCACGTCACGATTTCTACAAAGTGACGTCACTTGTGTTTAAAATTTCCTGAACATCAACCTTAGAGTTCAAATTTTCCTAACACAACTAATAATACGAAACCCATACGGAACTGCTCGATCTTTCATAGGCGTCAACATGGTCGAATAATCAGGAAAATTTAATCATCATTATATTAGAAATTTTAGAATTATATTGATTAAATAACCAAAAACATTTATTATTATTAATAATCTAAATATATAAATAATAATCCAAAATAATCTAAATTTTATGAAATAACTCTTTAAGTCTAATATTCCACAAAATAATAATTTTAATTAAATATATTAGACAATTGTACGCAAATGATACGGAAATACTTTTTTCGGAAACTACGGAAATACAAATTTTATTGACAGTTCAGCGGGTGGCAAAAGTGTATTACATGTTGCCGCTTTTTTAGAGTATAAATTTTGTTTATGTTTTAATTTCTTACACAATTTGATCATAATATAATATATATTAATAAATTATATTTATAAATACATATTAAATTTAAATTAATAGCTTTAAAAACTAATTATTGTTGTGTATTGTGATTGTGATATGCCAAAACAAATAAATAGTCTGTAGAACGCTGATAAGCTTTTATATAGGATATATTATTTTGAACAAGAAATAATGGCGGAAAGTTTTTACTATTAAAGCCCTAAAAGAGGTAAGTTTAAAATTTAGAATATATAATTTTGTATTAAAATGTTTTCCTATGTATTTTAATGTGTTGCAGTAGTCTAAAAACTAAGTGTATTTACTGTCAATATAATAGTTTGACAAATAGTTGACATTTTAAAAATTCCTCACTTACTAACTATTCTGATATTTTGACAACTCTATGGGGTTCTGACGACGTAAATCTTGAATGACGTGCAAGCTTTTTTATATAAAAAATGCTATACTTTTTATCCTTTAATTCTGAAATTATGTAGAATAGAGAAGGCTAGGAGTGCATTCAATAACATGGCCAAACTCTTTAAAAGCCACAATCTTAATCTGGAGATAAAAGTAAGGCTCCTACGATGTTATATCTTCTCAATATTGTATTACAGAGTTGAATCCTGGACACTAACTGAAGCAATGGAGAAAAAACTTGAAGCCTTCGAGATGTGGCTATACAGGCGAATTCTAAGGATATCATGGACAGACAAGATAACCAACGAGACCGTATTACGAAGAGTGGGCAAAGAAAGAGAGGTGATGTATACCATTAAAAGGAGAAAGTTGGAATATCTCGGACATATAATGAGAAACAGCACTAAATACAGATTACTGAAGGTAATCCTACAGGGTAAAGTATTCGGAAAGCGAGGAATTGGGAGAAGAAGAATATCATGGTTGAAGAACCTGAGGAAATGGTTCTCCACAACAACAACGAATCTATTAAAGCATCAGTCAATAAAATAATTATAGCCAGAATGATTGCCAATATTCGGAACGAATAGGCACTGAAAGAAGAAGAATTCTGAAATTGTGATGTTTTATAATGTATTTGTATTTTTTTTATTGGACTTATATGGACCTATATCATGTAAATGATGTTTCGGGATGAATAAATTATTATTATATTATTATAATAAGTACTTCAGATTCTACGGTTTTTCTTAGAAGGGGAGAGTACTGCAATAATTTGAAATAAATGAGTCTGTAAACATACTGATACCGACATTACTTAACAAGGCGTTTGGTAAACAATTCTTTCAAAAATATAGCTATCAGGCTCATAACCTTAATAGTTGATGCGGTTAATTGAAATAAAAAAACAGTAATTTTGTGTTCTATTGTAATCTATTGTTCCAATTAGTTAAATCAATTACCTGGAATTTCGGGAAAATGTTTTTGACTTTCACACCACTCCTTTAATATCTGAATATCCTGAAGAACATCCTTTAAAGATTTACCCCATTGTTGACGCACTTTGGAATGTTCCGTTAACAACAACTCATTTGTAATCATACTCATGGTACTTATTATGGTGGTACTTATAATCAAGAACAAGTGAAGTACATTTGGTTTTATATTTCTTGATATGTAATTAAAAAAGGTCGGACTTTAAACAGCGATTGAAAATCAAAACCAATGCCACTAGAGCTGTGTCTAAGACAAAAATCAAGTTTTCTGCATAATAAATATTGCGGTTTGGAATATAATAATTATATGATACATGATGATAAATCCAGTATATAATTATATTTATAACTGAATATATTTTATGGAACAATTGTATTGCAGTGTCGTATCAATGTTTAATTGAGGAGTCTAAGCAAAAGGGTACAAGTGACTAAATATTGATAATAAGAAAAAAAAGGTTTAAGTTTAACTCTCTTTTAAAATTATAAGAAATTGTTTTATACACATGAAACACTTTTTAAAATAACTAAGGAGTGTTACATAAGTTGTAGAATAAGTTTTAGATTTCTACTGTCAGTAGCAATAGCTTGCACAGACTGTGATAAAGTTTATATAGAAGAAACTTCTCGAATATTACACAGCAAAATTATTTCTCACAAAAGTTATGTAAAAACTAAGAAATCACAAGCTTGTGCATTATTTGAATACTCAATTAATCTAAATCACACATTTAATTTTTCACAGGCTTCAATTCTAGAGAGGCATAAACATGAACAGAAGCGGTTATTTTTAGAAATGACACATATACAGAAAAATAAAAAATGTGTAAATAGAAGATCAGATATTGACAAATTAAGTAACATTTATTGTTACATATTAACATATCAATAAATACCGTCATAATCTCATTTTCTATCGACATCCTAACATTAAAAAATTCATATGTGCTTAAGCAAAACTGACTGGATTAATTTATATTTTTTTATATTTGTTGTAGACAATTAAATAAATAATAATAAAAACTATTGTTACTGGTTTTGCTTTCCACGTAAAGTAACTGTATATTCATTCATATATGTCCATTAATCAAACCAACATGACAATAACATATATAGTGACAATATAGTTATTTTTAATAAAAAATTTTAATATATTTATATAATGGTTTGTTTTATAAAGTACAATATTAACTGTAATCTCAAGACTAGTAAGTAAGACAATTAACAATTTTAACTAGTTAATTTTTATATTTCTTTGTTATAGATGTCTAGAAAAAGAATTAAATAAAATTCGAAAGCTTGACAATAAGTCAAAGAGTTTTCTTTGTCTTGTGGGCCAAATAGACTCACTGCATCCTCAAAAATCATAACTTGCAACCAAACATACACTGTAGTGTCAAAGTCAAAAAGTTATTTATTTTTGGAATGTTAATTTAGAATATAATTGTGCATGTAGAATAGTAAAAAGATATTTCATATAAATGTTTAAGTTACATATAATAGTGTAGTTCTGATCTGGAGAGCCTAAAGTCAAGTAAATTGTAAATAGAAAGTTCTAGAAATGTCAATGGGACTATATGCATAATACATCACAGACAAAAAACCATTCCAGAATATTCAGATAGAACAAATAGAATGATTCGAACATTATTTATTGCTAGATTATTCTGGAAACAATGAAAAAGATATAAAAAGCCATGTAATTTGGAGGAGGAGGTTAGTTATCAGTATAGTGAGTTATCAGTTATCAGTTAATTAGTTACAGATTATGATTAGTTACAGTAAAGTGATTCAGTAAAGTTATAATTCAAGAATTTAGTTACAAGAAGATTATTAAGTTAATTATTATTATTTTTAAGTCTGTTACACGTGATTATTAATTACAAAGAAGAATTAAGAATAACTTATGAGGTAATGAAGAGATTATTAGCTAGAAAAAGGCATTGATTAAGTTAAATGAATTATTAAGTTAAATACAGTTGGAGATTAACTATTACTACAGTAATATAGTGACAGTTTGAAGTTAATTCATTAAAGTAAGCATTCAATTATACAACCACAAGATCCAGTATATTTCAAAGTACATTATATGGAAATTACAAGGATTTAAATCTATATATTTATATGGTGAGTGGAGATAATTAAGAAGAAACATATTAAAATTGTTGGATAACCAAGGCTGAGTAAGAAAATATCGAGTGGTGATAATAACTTTAATTTTGGAAAAACTTTAGGCGTTCAGTGAAAGAAGGTACCAAATTTTGTTAATAATTTAATAATTGTAAGAATTTCAAATTTTAGATAGATTGTTTTAAATTGATATTGCTTATATTAGATAGATAGGTTTGTTTCATAATAGTTATAATAAAGATAATTTAAAAAAGTACTTACAAACCAATTCTTTGAGAACCGCGATAAAAACGCTATACTTACATATATCATTCAAATTTACTCATAGCTCAATTAATTACTATTTATAACTGGGAATAAGCCACAATTAAAGATAAAAATACGTTTATTGACGTTTCAATTTCCAATTCGGAAATCGTTCTCAAAATACAAATAGTAAATTAAACAAATTTTGTTTTTTTGTTACATAGTGAAAAAATTCTTCTAATAATTTAATTTTATCTGACTCATTTATATTGACAATTCAGACATACATTATGCATTTTAAAGTAGACGACTTTAAAATGATATTGCCAATATTGTTGAGTTACAATATTAAATTGTCAATATAAATGAGTCAGATAAAATTAAATTATTAGAAGAATTTTTTCACTATGTAACAAAAAAACAAAATTTGTTTAATTTACTATTTGTATTTTGAGAACGATTTCCGAATTGGAAATTGAAACGTCAATAAACGTATTTTTATCTTTAATTGTGGCTTATTCCCAGTTATAAATAGTAATTAATTTACAATGCCACAAGAAAATAGCTTCAGAACAATATTAGTCATAGCTCATACAGAAACAACACATCATAACAATATGATCTAAGATCTCTTGCGCTCGTCGCCTTCGTTACTCCCTCTCTCCAAGATTTCTTGGGTCTTCCTCTCTTTCTGCGGTTTGGTGGTATTCATTGCATAATTTTTTTGGGAGTCTTGTGTTGTCCATTCTGTCCGTACCATATCAGTTGTTTTCTTTCTATGTCTGTTGATAGAGGGCTGTCAACTCCCTCACTGGATTGTTTTCACTCTTGGATCACTTCATAACAGTTATGTAATGACAGATATGACAGCTCAGCTTTGAAAGGAAGATACAGAATGCTTTTCGCTACCACCCAGCACCGTCAGGACCAAAACTGCGATTTGGTCAGTTAGGACGTTTTAGCTTAGCAGAGATAAAATTTTGCAAGGTAATCTTAATTGGTCTCAATGCACCAGAATTTATATCCTTAACAGATGGGTATTCCTCAAATAAACTGCTTCATTGAATGATGTCCATAATACGGCTCCATAGCTTCGTCCACTGAGAAACTTCCGTTCATTGAATGGAGGTAATGATGAAAACCTTTATTTAGATGGTCAACTTTAAACGCTTTACTGTCCATGAACTATAAAATATAAAATAAGTTTCTTCTGTAAATAGGACTTTTCTCTAGTCATCCACAGTCCAATTAGAGTATTTTTTGCTGCATTGTTCTTCTACCATTCTCCAAAAGTCTTTTCTTAACAGTTGAGTCCTGAATCACTACACTTGATGCTATTAAATCTTGTTGGAGCTTGCTTGTTTTTATTGGGTCCAATTTGCTCTTTTGGAGTAAGAATATTTCATCTACCACTGTTGTTTTTCTCTTTCTTCTGCATTTTGCTAACCTTTTCAAATCCATTGACCCCGTTTCTCGTTTATGCTTTACAATCTTGCGTAGTACTCTTTGACTCACTCCTTATGTTCTTGCGATTTCTCTTTGTGACATAGGAGTGTGTTCATTTAACGTGATAATCTTTTCACGTTATCTAGACGTAATATCCATAATGAAATTAAACGAAACAAACTCAGTAATTACCGAAAACAACATAAAATAGTACAAAATAAAACAAACTTAGTGGAAAATGCCCTAAAACGCCCTTAAATAAACGGCAGAGAAAAGTAAGGCTACGTTTTCAATGCTTGGTCAGATGTAAATGTGTGGACAGTGTTGCCAACAGTAAATGCTGTATTACAAACTATTGTAGCTGATTTTTACAACCCGGGAAAAATAACTAGTGCGCCACTGGAACTACCGAAAAAATAAATGAATAAACAAACAGTCCTCATCAAAAATTCAACTATTGGGTGGAAGAAAACAAGTTTTTACCGCATCATGTAGTTCATATAATTCCAATTACATAATGTTGAAAAATATTCTTAATAAATATAATGAAGATCTGCTTTTTGTTAATATTAAATTAAATTTTCTCTATATTTAATAAATATGATTAGTTATAATAATCTTCTATTTGTCCTGTAAAGGGTGCGTACAGACATGGGGCCATGAGCATAATATTCCCCCTCCCCAAAAATTTAAAAAATATTTACAAAATTTAAATATTTGCATTTGAAATGCTTTTAGTTCCAAATACATATCCCGCTTGCCACGACAAAAATGTTTTTAGTTTTGAGAGTGGTAGAGATTGTGCTGAACGAGGTAAAGTGTGAGGTAACCTAATATATGCGTGTATAACACAACCGCTTCTGTTGTGACTGAGCGACACTGAAAAGTAATAGAGCGATTTGCACTCAGCGAGCCAGATGACTCGAATTTGTTCTATGAGGTTTTTTTCCACTAGGCAAATAAAGTTCTTACTATTTAAATTATTAATACCTGAATCAGTAATATTACACTCACTACATTTTAGATTGTAAAAATATCTTCACTTCCTGATTTACATATCTGAATGGTATGTTTTTGCTTTCTCATAAAACGTTAAAACGAGCTGCTCTACTTCACGATATCCAAAAAACTTCCTTTTATTTTTATATCCAAACTTTATACCCAACTCTAATAACCTATACAAAATTTATCGATTTGACAATAACTACTGGGTATATTTTAATGATCACTAATTCATCCTGTTCTGCAAAATTGGGTAGTCATCATCATCATCATTATCATTTGGCTCTAGAACTCTATATGAGTCTTGCCCGCGTTTACTATTTTCCTCCACTGTTGTCGGTCCTGAACAGCTATTTCCCCTTGCTTTATTCCCATTTTGCGTAGATCACTGGCTACTGGGTCCTTCCATATCAAGCGAGTGGATATTTCTTACATACATAGAATTGACCACTCGTTCTTCTGCCATACTCTTAATTTTCCTACATCTAACGGTTCATAAGAAAAATTTCCATTTCGCGGTCTGTATTTGCTGAAAAAGTGGAGAAATTTTAATTCGATTTTTTTCTTTTCCTGCGAATTGGGGTTAAAGGATCAGACTAAGACAAATGTTTGTAATAAGCTGGACCGTGTGCATGTACCAAAACATAAAATTTTTTTTTTTAATTAAAATTTGAAAAAATCATCAAAGAGGGTATACTTGGATTTTTATCAAATTTCGTTATTCGGCTATATTGGCGTTAATTTTAGTTCGAGAGTCAAGCGAGTGCTTACATAAAATTGACCACTCGTTCTTCTGCCGTATTCAAAATGTTCCTACATCTAACGGGCCGTGAGAAAAATTTCCATTTGCAGGTCTGTATTTGCTGAAAAAGTGGAGATTTTTTAATTCGATTTTTTCTCTTTTTCGACAAATTGGGATTAAAGGATCAGACTAAGACACGTGTTTGTAATAAGCTGGATCGAGTGCATGTACTAAAACGTAAATAAATTTTTTTTTTAAATTTGGAGGAAATCATCAAAGGGAGTACCCTTGGATTTTTTTAACACGGTCCAAATTTTTGGAGAAGTCTAAGTAGACTACATCGACAGGATTCCGATTGTTTAAAGATAATGACCAATAATTTACACAAAGAAGTAAGTTTGTAATTGTTAAACGACCTTTGATAAAGCCATGCTGTTGGTGAGGGATGACATTTTCTTGAAAAAAAGCTTAGACATAGCTTCCGAAATAATCGATTTCATGACCTTGCCGACAATATAAACCAGGCTTCTTCTTCTTCTTCTTCTTCGTCTAGCCATTCACGTCAACATCTGAACATAAGCCTCTTCAAGTCTTCCTTTCCATTGTTTTTTATTGTACGCTACTTGTAGCCATTTTTTTCCGGCAGTCCTTTTCAGATCATCTGTCCATCTCATAGGAGGTCTGCCTCTGGGTCTTTTGTGTTGGTATGGTATCCAGGTTAAAATTGATCTGTGCCATTTGTTTAAATCGCTCCTAGCTACATGTCCAGCGTATTCCCATTTCAACTTTAATGATTTTTGCACCACATCGGCGACTTTGGTTTTCTGTCTTATCCATGTGTTTGTTTTCTTGTCCTTAAGTGATATACCTAACATTGCTTTTTCCATCGCGTGTTGAGTGACTCTAAGTATATTCATATTCTTTTTTGTGATTGTCCATGTTTGTGCCGCATAAGTTAATATCGGAATAATGCATGCATCAAAAACTTTAGATCTAAGATGCAATTGAATTTGTTGATATCTGAGTATATAGTTCAATATACCGAATGCTGCCCAAGCTAACTTTCTTCTTCTTTTTATTTCTTCAGTTTGAATTTCCCTATTTAGTATTATTTTTTGTCCTAAGTATATATATTCTTCAACTTTTTCTATAACTTTTTCGTTTACCATTGTCACGGTGTCTTCGGAGTGCATGACTTTTGTTTTGTTTAAATTCATGTTCAGTATTATTTTTGAAGATTCGGTATGTAGTTCTAAAAGCACGGTTTGCATTTCTTGTAGGTCAGTAGCTATCAGGATTATGTCATCTGTAAATCGTAGATTACTGAGGTAGCGGCCATTGATGTTTATTCCCTTATATTTCCAATTTAGGTTTTTAAAAACGTCCTCCAAAACTAAGGTGAACAGTTTGGGTGATAAAGTATCTCCCTGTTTGACTCCCCTGTTTAATGGTACCGAGTTCGTGAGTTCATTTTCATTTAGGTAGTATGTAGCTGTAGCTTGGTTCATAGTTTCTTTTATTAAGTTAATATACCTGCTGTCTATTCTACAATTTTGCATTGCGTTTATTACGGCCGTGTGTTCTATGGTATCGAAAGCTTTTTCATAGTCTACAAATGCTAGGAAAACTGAAAACTTGTATTCGTTACATTTTTCTATTAATATTTTTGTGGTTAACAGGTGATCGGAAGTTGAATAGCCTTTTCTAAAACCTGCCTGTTCATATGGTTGGTATTCGTCTAGTTTCCTTGTTAGTCGAGTAGTTATGACTTTGGTGAGTATTTTAAACAGGTGTTTAACAGGTTTAAAATAAACCAGGCTAGTTGGAGGATAATTATTGTAATCAAATTTATTTCTTTTCTTGATTATAGAAGTAACAGAAGCCAATTTCCAGGACGAGGGGAGAGAGCCTTGAATAAAAGAAGCATTCATCATGAGAGATATAGGGATGGCTACAGATTCTACACATTATTTGAGGAAAAAGAAGGTGAGTTCGTCTAATCCAGGTGATAAATTACTGCGTAGTTTTATCATCATTAGTAGCTTGACAACCCTTTCTAGCTCCTGGCTTGTTCAGGATTTTCCGCCATTCTGTTCTGTTCTTTGCTTGGTTTTTCCAGTTAGTAATCTTAAGTGTTTTCAGATCTTGTTCCACTTGTTCCATGTATCTAGTTTCTATAAATGGAAATACATCTGTCAGGTTTCTATAAGATTTTTGATTAAAACTCCCAAGGAATCACTCTGGATAAATAATTAAACTGCTCTCTGAACGGGAATACGGCCGAATCATAATAGTTGTTGACCTAAATAAAATGCATTGATAAATAGAAAATTAATAGAATAATATTCATATTAATTTTTGTTGAGAATGTTTATTATTTTCTTAGTCAATATCTAATTGCTTAAAATTTCCGTAGTATCCCAAAATTTCAGAGTTTTCTAGTGGTTTTTGTCGTAAAGCTTCATTTATTTTCATATGGTGTAATGCATCAAATCTATCACCATAATCTTTAAATTTAACTTTCCATAATTCTGAAAATAAAATTATATTACTTTTTATTTTTGCACTATTTAGATTAAGATATTAAAGATATTTTACACTGTAGATAATGTTTTAAGTTAGGGAATATATATGGATTTGTCATTAATTGAGATAAAGAGTAAAATAAAAATCAAAAGATATTTGTGAAGTATGTAAAATTTTAATTCTTAAATGAGCGATTTCGGCTAACAAAGCCATCCTCAGAGCTATGGTTTAAAAAACCACCACTACCGTAAATTGGGGAGAAATTGATCACTAGAAATTTATTCATTCAAAAATATGATGGTAAATTGTAAAATTAACTACACATTTTTTACTAATATGATACAACATGAGCTATATTAAATATTTCTCTCTATAAAATATTTTTTTGATTAGACTATTGACTAAAAAATCTAAACAACTGGATACACAATTTCATACCGTCAATAGGGCGAAATTGATCACCTCTGTTTAAGTGGGGTCACCCCTAAGATCACCCCTGTCAGTTCCAGGTAAACTGTTTTGAAAAGAGGCACTTGTCGGCTCTGGGCATCCAAAACACTTTTGGCTAAATATTTTATATTTCACAAGTCAAGTAAATCCCCACTCGCCGCATATTGCAGCACACTGTATAATAGTTTTTTCTTCCTTTAGCGCAACTACAGTCTGTTCCCTTTCTTTTTGCCATGTCGAACATTATAGCGATTATTAAGGGTTCCATAGGGAATTTTATAGGGAATATTCTTCATCAGCGCAACGTAAGGACCATCTTTCCTTAAGAAGTTTCTGGAAGGAATTGTCCACCCTTACTTCATTATAGTCCTTATATGGACGGACACCAAGTTTTCTTAAACAATTTCGAACCATTTTTTCTGCAAACAAAGCACTTTATAATATACGATTTCTTCAGAAAAATGTTGTCAAATTCGCTCCCGGTGGAGATCGATTCCGCCCCACAGACCTGTTCAAATTAGCCCCATAATGCATGCAACGTGTAAATTATCATACGTTGAAAAATAGCTAGTTCTGATCACTGCACTACTACGGTGATCAGTCAGCAGTGTAGTAGTGTCTGGGGGCTCGGGAGACTGCGACCTCGGAAGCCCTGAGGAAGACGTGAGAGAGGATGTCGAAAGCTCGGCAAAATGGATATCGACGCGGTTCAACCCGGAAGACTAGTGAGTTTGACATTAATTTTTGTAATAATATTAATCTTAGCTCTAGGTTTCATTGTACTAACCGCGGAAATCTTTCCGAACATATATACATATATACATACATATATACATACATATATACATATATATATATATATATATATATATATATATATATATATATATATATATATATATATATATATATATATATATTTCGTATTACATCTATAATAATGTGTACCTTCTAGTTTATTTAGTGACATCTGTTCACCGTCATAGTCACTTGGGAGAAGCTCTTGAGGAACTTGTTGATATAGATCGTTATAATCCTTATGAAAGAATATCTAAAAAAATACCAAATTAATTGAAATATTTATGACGTTAGTAGATTGTTATCTGTTTAATTAATCTATTACCTTTAATGGGATTTAACAAAGATTTAAGTTAAAAGTACGTTTATTGTGACGTTTCAATTTTCACTTTCGAAGAACTGCACTATTTGTTATTTTGTCTGTCCAAGGTATTTTCAAAATTCTTCTATATATCTACATTTCGAAGACCTCCAGTTTATCTATATTGCTCTTGTTTAAAGTTCAAGTCTACTCCGTACATCAGTATCGAAAAGATGTAGCATCTAACCAATCTCATTTTCAGGTTTAGGTTAATGTCATGACTTCCCAGAATGTCTTTCATATTACCATAAGCAGCTCGAGCCTATCCAATTCTAGTTTTTATTTCTCTGTGATGTCATTGTTGTTATTAACATTTGTTCCTAAGTATTTATATTTGTGCACCCGTTCAATTTCGTTATTGTGAATATACAGGTTTGCATTCAATCTTTGTTTTTTTTTGAAATAATCATGATTTTCGTCTTCTTGATATTCATTGTTAATCCTTTCTCTTCACTAGCTATGACTACCTTGTTTAAAATGGCTTGCAGGTCTTCTACTGTCTCCGCCATTAAAACCGTATCATCTGCGTATCTAATATTAATAATTGGTTGGCCATTAACTTTTATCCCAATCTCTTCTTCCTCCAATGCTTTCTTCATAACTTTTTCCGAATAGAGATTAAATAGCATTGGTTGGTGACAGCACACATCCTTGTCTAACTCCTTTTTTAATTTGAATTTCATTTGTTGTGCTATTTTCAATGCGTGCAACTGCCTTCTGATTATAATACAGAGTATATATTATTGTTATATCGCGATCTAACTGTTTAGCTTTCAAGATCTCTAAAAGTTGGTCATGCTTGAAGTTATCAAACGCCTTGTTGTAATCAATAAAACAAGCATGTACATCTTGATTCACATCCAAACACCTCTGTGACAAGATGTTAAAGGCAAATAATGCTTCGCGAGTTTTATATCCCTCCTAGAATCCAAACTGAGTTTCTCCGATATCTTCTTCCAATTGTCTGTAAATTCTATTGTGAATTATGAATTAGGAGAATTAGAAGCTGTAAAAGGACATGTTTATCAACAGCTTAAACAACTTTTTCCCGATGTTTAATTGAAAACATCAAAAAAGTCCAAATGGACAATATAATAGGTAAATTAATACAAGGTTGAATGCTCGAATAAATGAACTTTGATCGAATCAAATTTGATTAATGTTTAATATAATAGGTGACTATGGTTTAGGAACAAAAAATGCTAAAGGCACTTTGGCAAATGACAGATTGGCTAAATTTTGTTAATAAGAGAGCCTGACAATAATGAATACATGCTTTCGATTTCCATCCCACACTGTATATCTGAAGGTTTCCACAGGATGAATAAAATTGTATTAGAAATTAGATCGACCTTATATTGTTCAGCCTAAGATTTGATAATTCCATTATAATCAATAAGATTTATCCTGGAGCAGATGTCTCAACAGACCCTAACCTCCTTGTCTCAAAAATGAATGTAATTGTAAAAGAGAAAATATAATCCAAAACTTCTAGGGTAAACACTCAGTTGCTCAGGATAAACGAAGTACGTGATGAGACTTCAATTTGTATAATTCAAGAAATATAAAGATTTCAATTAGAAATGAAAAACTCTCAAGACTGCAAACATTATTTGCAAGAAAATTAAAGATTCTGTTATAAAGAAACAGAAACTTTACAAAAGAAAGAAAAAAGGCGTAAACTTTAGATGGCAACAAAGAAAAAAATACAGAAACAAAAACCCAGATAAATGTAGAGAAAAACATAAAAAAATAATTAGAAATACAATAAAAGACTGTTCAAAAATATTATAATTTAATAATAACTTACCCTATCCAAAAATTTTTTCTTTAAAAATGTTTTAGCAATCCTAAATAATATTTCCATGAAACGTTGCTGGTGATTGATTATATGAATTTTTGCTATTCGAATGCTCGAAGCGTTCTGAAATATGAAAAGATAGGTAAATAAATATAGCTATTTGATATTAAACATCTCTAACCCTCTGCTTTCCATTATGAAAATAAATGGTCAACACACCTACAATGTATGATCTGCAGATGAAGACATAGCCTATGGTTATCACAAAATTATAAACGTTAAGAATTCTTATCAATATACAAGAAGAAACTATAAAGAATGTCCAAAACTAAAAATATCTAGAAAAAATTCATGAAGACAAGTGTTACACTAAAAAACTGAAGGCAACAATATGATAAGCAAAAAATCCATTCAACATAAAGAAAAGTGAATTTTGCATGTTCTTCAATATATTTCACAAAATGGAAGCTTGAACATTAAAGATCCTTTTTGCATGTAGACTGAAGGCTTTTTAACTGTAGATCTACATAAAAATACTGCAAAAAAAGTTGTTTAGATCTATTCACGAATATTGAAGTACTGAGAAGATTGGAAAAGAATAAGGAAGTATTACCATTAAGATCAAAGAGTTACAGTATATAGAATATACCACGAGAGAAGAACTTTGACCCTTATCATCATCATTCTGGTTTTACCACCCTACGTGGGCCCTGCCTACTCATAGCTAGAGTAGCTTCCTCAAGAATTTCTCTCCTTCTTCTTAAGGTGCCGTGCATTTCTGCGTAGGCGTCCACCGTACATCGTCTTGTCAGGTGAGATGTTAAATATTCTGGATTAAATAATTCTATTTTTAGCAGCATTGCGAAGCATTTCATGGCTGTGGATTCCTGTCCATTGTCGAATATTGCGCAGCCATGACATTTTTTTACGTCCGAGACCTCTCCTACCCTCTATCTTCCCTTAGAGTATCAGTTGCTGAAAAGTGTATCGTTCTCCTCGTATAATGTGCCCCAAGTATGCAGTCTTCTTACTTTTTACATAATTAAAAAGTTCCCTATCCTGTAAGCCCGCTCTTCTGAGTACTTCCTCATTTCTGACCCTGTCCGTCCATGATATTCTGAGCATTCGACGCAGGCACCACATTTCAAACACTTTAAGTTTGTTAATGGAACTGGCTTTTAACGTCCATGCTTCCATTCCGTACAGGAGAACAGGCCACACGTAACACTCAAGCATCTTGTATCGGAGGTTGAAGTCCAATTTGCGATCAGTCAGAAACTTACGAAGCCTCAAAAAAGCATTTCTGGCTTGTTCAACTCTGCTCTTTATTTCATTCTCGAGGTCCCAACCCTCATTCAGCAAACATCCCAAGTATTTGAATTGCCTGACTTGTTCGATTTCTTCTCCAGAGACATATATCTTTGCGTTGGGGTAATCATTTCTACTTATAATCATTGATTTTGTCTTCTTGATATTTTTTCAAACCCCGAGCTTCACTTGCAAGAGTTAGATCGTTTAAAAGGCATTGAAGATCTTCGATGTTATCTGCCACTATGGCTGTATCATCGGCATACCTGATGTTATTAATAAATATGCCGTTAACTTTAATACCCTTATTAGAGTCTTCCACTGCTTCTGCGAAGGCTTTTTCTACGTATAAATTGAACAGCATTGGGGACAGTATACAACCTTGCCTTACTCCTTTTTCAACGGAGAAATCTTCTGTTTCGTTGGAATTTTGAAGACGTACTGTTGCTGTCTGATTTCAATACAGATTGGCGATGATTCTTATATCCTTTGCATCCAATCCCAACTCTTGTAGGTATTTTATCATCAATTTATGTTTTACATTATCGAATGCTTTCTCGTAATCGATGAAACAGATAAAAACATCCTTTCTTTGATCTAAACAATTCTGTATCAATGTTTGCATACTAAAGATCACTTCTCTCATGCCAAGTCCATTTTTGAAACCAAACTGACTCCATCCACTGACCTCTTCACATTTCTTAAACAATCTAGTGTGAAGTATTCTCAGAAAAAGTTTTAAAAAGTGACTCATTAGGCTTTTCTCTCCAGTCGTCCCTATTCATTGTCTTTCTGCACCAAGCACGTATTACCATATTTCTCATGTCTTCATTGATGTTATCAAGGAACCTTGTTCTAGGACTTTCTCTTCTTCTCTTATCAATAAATCTATCAAGGAGCGTTTTTCCAGATAGGTCATTCTATTCCAACCTCATTACATGCCCTGTCTACTTCAGACGTGCTATCCTAATCTGTTTTACGATATCTAGTTGCTGGTATATTCTATAAAGTTCGAAGTTGTGTCGTCTTCTCCACACTTCATTCCCATTTACTGCTCTATACATACTTTGCTCTATACATAATTGAAAAACATAAAAAAGACACGCTCCGTATTATTGACATATTGGCATTTGGTTCTAATTTCTTTACGAAAATAGTCTAAATAACTTACCTCAAATATTGCTAAACCTTTTCTGAAAAATGTCGGAGTTAGTTTTTTAACATGTTCCATTTTCATATTTTTATTGTCAAAAATAACAACCAGTCCCATCATAAGATCTTCATGAGATAATATTTCTAATAAATTAGCTGCATGTGCTATCATTTTGTAGGGACTGTATGCTGAATTAATATTTTCACTGTATTTAACTATTACAATTCGCTGCAGTTCTGCCGTCATCTTTGGCAAAGGAATAATAGTCCTATAACAGTAAGTAAATAATGTTATAATGTTATATTTATTTTTTGATGCAATAATTTAAAATCTGTTTACAATAGCGATATTTTGTTGTTAAGAAAAAAACTCTAATAATATCAAAGATACAAACTGTAAATGATCAAGATTTAAAAAAATTTCAATATTTTATCAAGAATTATACAGATTCCGCTAATATGATTCGCCCATATTTTCTACATTTTTGCAGAAACTTTATTTTGTATTTGCTCTCTCCTTTTTGATCATTTTAAAAAGCGGAGCAGCATACAGTCAGAATACTGGTGATTAAAGTGTATTGTATGCTGTAATAAATTTTTTTTTTGGCTTTTCGAAATACTGCAGAACCATTGTGGTCCATACTAACTCCTCTTTTAGCAGGACAATATCTTCTTTTTTTAAGGTTTAGCAGCGCTCTGGTAGTAATTAACTGATTCTCCTTACATACCTTTAATCTAAGCAATATTTAAAGCAATAATAATGATCGCAACTAAAGTTTTTCAGTTTTGTAACGTATTTAGTAGATGATCTGCAAAGGATATATACTTACGTCATGGTGGACAGTGTTTCATGATAATACGGTAAATTAGGATTACTATTTTCAAAAATTTCTGAAAATATGAAACGTACTGTGTAGTACATGTCTAAAGCATATTTTGTTTTTTCTATACTGTATTTACAATTTGTCAAAAAAAATTCGATTACTTCATCACCTAAAATGGATAAAAAAATAAACTTAAAACTTAATATTAAAATACTGCAAATTGGTAAAATAGTCTTTGAAATAATAAAAAAACATTAACAACAAACACCAACCAACAACCAAACAATATTACGAAAACAAAATACAAATTAAAAAAATATTGACAATGGACTACCTTAGCTCTAACGTCACAATGGGCAGGGATTTTAAAATACCTTTCCAAACATTTTTAATTTGTGCATATTTGCCCCACAAGAAGTTGAAAATATTGGGTTTTTTAATTGTTTGAAGGATTGTTGGAAGTCAGACTACTAACTTATAATAGTTAATTGCCACTGACAATGATCTTAGAATGGAATTTTTTAAATAACTCTCAGAAAGTTTGGGAATTAACAACAACATTACTCAGTTTTCTGTTAACAGTGTGTAAGTAAACAGTGCAGTTATGGGAAGCAGAAGTAAACAGTTGAGGGTGTTGAGGGAGACGAGTCAATCCAGGTATTTACCTGATACATCACAAAATAAGGAATTGGATTCAGTACATTCTTCAATAGCTCCCTCCGTTGATCCTTAATTAATTGACATTAATACAAGCTATGTTCCTGACCGAGATTCTGATAGTAAAGAATCACGCAAAATACCAACAGCGAAAACTTATTCGTCTATAGAAGGTAGCCACTGTTCTTTCAGTATATTAGAAAGGCTATTTATGAAAGTGGATAACTGCATCCAGAGTTCAAGTCAAATAGACCATGATTAATCCATTTGTTAGAGAAGTTCGAAAAAATAGAAAACAATGCCTTCATAGCGGTAAAGAATTTATAACTGCAAAGGAAAGAAAATGCAAGCAAGGAAAATGCTAGATTTGAAGGAATGTTGCGAAATAAGTATTGCGGCATTGATCAATAGTGCACCAACAATCTTTTCGTTGGAGAAATTTGGATAATCTCAAAAACGTGAAGTGACACATCAATATTTTTTTGAAATAAGTGAAGGCAGAATTTCTTTATGGCAAAGCATGTTTTTGTGCAACTTTAGATGACAAACCAAGATTTATTCGTACTGTTATAAACAAAATAAAAAAATCAAGTGTATTAGGCATTCCAAGCTCTAGCGTAAAAGGACATAACCCACCACCACATACAAAGACGCCAGAAGAGATGGAAGGTGTTAAAAATTATATACTTTCATTCCCATTGTACACTAGACGTACTAATGACCAGAAATACTTGCAATCTCATTTTAACCTACGAATTATGTACAACCTATACTGACAAGATAAAGAAAATCCAGTAAGTCGAAAAATTTATGAGAAAACTAAAATCACTAAATTTATCAATTAAAAACCTAAACAGGATACTTGCTACACATGCGATTTATTGAACATGAAAATAAAGACAACAGTTGGTAATCTTGACAAAGCTGCCCTTACAATTCACAGATATCTGGATGCTTTATTTTCCTTATTTTTTTGCATATTTTACTGTATCAAAAGTGATTTTAAGTAGAAAACAATAGGTAGGTATATTAATTTTAATAGTATATTAATATTATACGTAGATACTAGATATTACCTGATATTTCGGGAAGATGTTTCTGAGTACCTAGCCATTTTTTAATAATTTGAATATCTTGTTCTATATCTGACATAGATTTTTCAATTTTTTTGCGCACATTTTCACGTTCGGTTATAAGTACACCTATTGTATCCATAGTCTACAAATTACATACTATTTTGTTACAAATAATGATACATTAAACGATACTTCAAAAGGCATTTAAAATGCATTTTTCGTGACCTTAGACTTTGATATGATGTTAAATTATAGACATTTAATTTCAGATTTTCATAAATGGGTAATATTCGTAAAAATCATATACAACTAAAACTATTAGTTTCAAATATACGGGGTATTATAAATTCTTTACCAAAGATTGACAATTTTTTATTAGGCTTTATTTGGTATCTTTAATTGCTTATCTTGGAATTAACGACAATTTCAGTTGAAAATGTATTTATTTTGATCTTTTTCTTTCAAATTATATTGTCAATGTTTTTGGATTGTCGTCCTGGGACGACTTTATTGGAAGAAAGATTATTAAATTACGTTCATTGTAATTGTGTATTGTAAAAGTGTTCATTGCACGTTCATTGAATTACTTCATTAAATTACGTAAAGCTGTAACACATTGGGTGTCAGCAAAATATTTAAGCATGAATCTAGATGTCAGGCTAAAATGGAAAGAACACATCAAAAATATCAAATAGAGAAAACTGAACAGGCTCCTTAAAAGAAAATCGAAGCTCTCAATATATTTATTTATTATTGATTAATATACGGGATTACCTTCATAACAAAAAAATACATGTAACAATATACAGAGTGGCCCAAAAGTCTGGAAACGGCTAATTATCTCGTAAATTACTAGACATAATTTTATTATACAAAATTTAAGATAAGCCTATTTTGGGATACGGAGATTCCATATTTCGTATTTGCAATGTTGCCATATTTTCAGTTAACAACGCCTAAATTGTTTCAATACATTTTTTAATACTAACTATTTTCAAATACATTAAAACGTAACAATTGATAGTTTAGAATATTTTTTTAACATAATAGTTACGTTACTAAGTGTTCAAAATATGCTCCATTTGTGTGTTAAGAGCACTCTAATCGATGGTAGAGTGCGTCTACCACATTTCTCCATGATTGTCTAGAAATTATTCGAAATTCATCGATAATTCATCGCCTTAACTATGCAAGACATGCTGGTTAAGTTTTGTAAACTGAATTTTTCAAGTATCTGTAATAAAAATAATCTTTAGGATTGAGATCGGGTGAACGTGGAGGCCATTCAATTCTACCTTGTCTACCAATTTATCGTCCGGGAAATATCTCATCTAAATAACGCCGAACATTTACACCAACTATCTGACGTTAAATTTCTTTCGATAAAAAATGGCCCAATTAAATAAGTACCTACTACAACTGACCATACACTTAATTTTTGAGGTCTTTGAGTATGGTTTTCACGCATTTAGTGTGAATTTCACACGAGTTCAGCTATTCAATACGAGTTCAACCATATGTTCAGTTGATTTTATGTAGTCTGAAAGATCTTAAATACATAAAATAGTGCAAAATATGTAGATTTTAATAAATTTAAATATTTAAATGTAGAATGCTGTGATTTTGACATTTGTTATGAATTTAAATTATGAACTAAAATTGACAGTAGTTGTGGTTCAAAAAGTCCTGCAATTTAAATTGCTTCTCTAAAATGCCGTTCTCTAAACCGTTCTCCTATTCATAAGACGACGGTACAAAAAACTGTAAGGCGATTTGAGGAATCTGGAGAAGTAAAAGATAGATATCTACCGATCAGGTTGACCGAAACGAGTTATCAATGACAACAAAACTTCCGATATAAGCAAAGTTTTGTTGAAGATCCACATACATCCCCAGAAAGGGTTGCACAAGTATACGATTTAGGTCATTGTTCAGTCTTACGTTTATTACGTAAAAATTAATTTAAATCATACAAAATTAACTTATTGCAAGAATTAAGTGAAGATGACTTTGGTCGTAGATTAGAGTTTACTGAGGTAATGATGGATAAAATTGAAAATTATTAAAATTTCGTTAACAGAATATGTTTTAGCGATGAAGCAACTTTTACACTGTGTGGAAGTATAAATCACACAATTTAAGGTACTGGTGTGACGTAAATTCACACTGAAGACTGAATGCGTGAAAACCATATTCAAAGACCACAAAAATTAAATGTATGGTCAGATATAGTAGTTACTTATTCAATTGGGTCATTTTTTATCGAAAATGTCGCCCATTAACAATTTTAAGTTCTTTTAGTATCTCCAACTTGTAGAGTTGTAAACCGATAGCAACATTGTAAGTTTGTTTTTGTTATTTAGTATTATTATTGATATTTGTAACTGTTTATGGTAAGACAATATTAAGTATGTATTTCTCCTCTCTAAAAAAAGAGCAGAAGAATAAAATTAATGAAGCAGACAAAGTAACAATCCACAAATTAGTATAAGATAATCTATTGAATTGAAATAAATTAGTAAATAACCAGTATTATTTCCTATAAAAGTTTCTAACCTCTTTTTGTATTTTTTTAGGAAAGAAAATTCTATCTTTCCATCCAGCAGAAAGATTTCATCCAGCGGCGTCCATTTTAAATAGCTTTGGAACCTTATTGTGTTGTGTTTGTCCAAGAGATCAATGTAAGTATCCTTTAGATTCACTGTTTTAGTTACCTCATTCTTGTCCCCTTGTTTTATTCATTCGATCGTTTTGGTTGTTTCTAGAGATATCTCTCTTGCGTACAGTAATTGAATAACGTCCCTTAATTTAATCCGGTTAAATGCCTTCTTAAGGTCCACGAAACATCAACTCTATAAAACAGAGATTGCAAGTTATGTGCAAGAGTAATTTTCAGCCCTTAGACTCGTTAATTTTCAATTTTGTAGATTAATGCTGATGTGGTTATTGCTTCAAAGAATTTCAATATTATTTCATGAAGTTTTTTTTTACAAAAAAGATTGGTGTATATAAGGGACAGAATATTTACATATTGCTTAATATAAAAATATAACGTAGTTTTTATTATTATAGTTAATTAAACAATATAATATCAATAAAATATATTAGAGGTAAATTAAGTGGTCTATTTAAATCAAATTACTTTATTAAAAATTGAATACACGCAATGTATTTTTACAAGGTGCTTTACGATTTTAGTCAACTTCGATCTTTTTAAAATTACCGTGATATCCTAAAATTTCACTATTTTCCAATTTTTCTGGACGAAGGCTTTCGTTTACTTTGAGTGTGTCTAATGTAGTAAATCTTTCTTTGTTTTCTTCAAACTTTTCTGACCATACTCCTAAAATAAAAGTGTTATTAGATATTCGTTTTTAATGTAAAATATTCTATAAAACAGTTGGTTTTCCTTTTATTGTCTATTAATTTCTTTTTATATATGAATAATAAATGATAAAATTTAACAATAATATAGATTTAGAAGCCAAACAATTTTTTACATTAGTCCACAATTATTATATTTTTTTGGTATGTCTAATTTGTATGTATGTATATAGAATATACCAGGAACCAGATATCGTAAAACATTAATTACTATTTAACTGGGAATAAGCCACAATTAAAGATAAAAATACGTTTATTGACGTTTCAATTTCCACTTCGGAAATCATTCTCAAAATACAAACATTGTCAATATAAATGAGTCAGATAAAATTAAATTATTAGAAGAATTTTTTACTATGTAACAAAAAACAAAATTTGTTTAATTTACTGTTTGTATTTTGAGAACGATTTCCGAAGTGGAAATTGAAACGTCAATAAATGTATTTTTATCTTTAACTGTGGCTTATTCCCAGTTAAATAGTAATTAATTTACAATGCCACAAGAAAATAGCTTCAGAACAATATCGTAAAACATATTAAAATGGGACCTCTGAGGTGGAGAGGGCATGTAATGCGGATGGAACAAAATAACCGAGCTAGAAAAACGCTCCTTATAAGATCTATTGGTTAGAGTAGAAGATGAAGACCCAGGCAAGGTTATTGAAAACATCGATGAAGACACGAGAAATATAGGAATACGTGCTTGCCGGAGAAAGGCGATAGAGCGATGGATTGGGATGATCGGAGAGAAATTCTTGGGGAGTCTAGTACCCACGCAGAGTTTTAAAGCCAGAATAATAATGATTAATTTAAAAATTATTGGGAAAATCCCAGTAGTTGGCTATATGCCATAGTAAAAAAACTTCAAAATTTGTATATTGGTATAAAACCATTTAATTAAAACTTGGTAAAAGTGTCGTCCAAAATTTATAGGTCTATAAATTATTTATATCGTATCTATATTAGGAGCAGGAGGACTTAGAACGGCATCCTAATTTTAAAAAGTTTAGAAATCTTCTTGTTTTGTATTTTCCCAGGACATCTATGTAAGTATTTTTTGATTTCTTGTTCGTAGTTCGTTCTTTCAGTTCCCTCCAAAAAAGGGATTTTTATCCATGTCCTTGCCCTCCAATCAAAACACGAGTAGCCGTTCGCAAACGTTTTAATTTATTTGCTTACTCTGTTTCCAAGCACAATGATTGTTCAGTCTCCTTTTTAGCCCCTAATAAGCAAATAAAATTGCTACAATAAAACCTCATAATATTGGTGTTACCGTCTGGTAACTTTGGAATTCATCAAAAGAAGATTTCTTCTTTCACTTACTTTGAAATTCATCTAAAGAAGGTTCCTGTCCGCCATAATCAGATGGCAGCAGTTCCCTTGGGACCATTTTAAACAGTTCCTCCATATCTGAATGTATGTACACCTGAAATTAATTTGACTTATTAGTAAATAATTAATAACTAATACCTATTTAAAGCATTAGAAAAATATGATTTGAGTGGCTTACCCTTTCTTGTAGTTTTTTACTGAAGAATGCTTTAACTAGGGCCATAATCCTATCTATGTAGACGGGAGCATTGATAAAATGCAATTCTCTTAATCTATTAGACCAAACTTTCTGTAATAAAAAACGATAGTATTTATTTACAACGCACAATTTATTGTTTCAAAAATTACATTTTAGTGGGATAAATGAGCAAACAGAGAACGCTGAACATGACTGTGACTTAGACCAAAATTGGCAAATACTGAAAGAAGCACTCCTAAACGCTGATAAACAAGCATGCGGAATAACAAGAAATACCAGAAGCAAAAAGTGCACAAACTGATGAAACAATGAAATAAAAGCAGAAGTAAAGTTCAAGAAGATAGCTTGAAAAAATTATTTAAGAAACGGAAATGCAGACAACTACCAAATATATAGACTGCAAATAATTAAAGTCAAAGATATGGTACTAGCAGCGAAGCGGAAAAGTTGGGAATAATTCGGAAACAAAATGGAAGAAGACTACCACTCTAACGAAAAGTTATTCTTTAAAATCCTGAAGAATTCAAAAACCGAAAAGGCTCCACAAACACCAAAGCAAGTAAGGCAAAAAGAAGGACACTTATTGCATGACAATGGCCACATCCTAGATAGATGGAAGCAATATTTCGAGGGTGTACTAAATATTCAAAATGATGTAGACATTATCACAGAAGAACCAGAAGAGGTAGAGCAAGAAGACCAAATCTAAGATGAAATAACTATAGCAGAAACAAAAAAAATCATACAGAACCAATACTGTATATTCCAGTGTAGACAGAATTGAAACGAGACAACTAGTGTGGTAGTTAGATGGCCAAAGAAAGCATTAAATTTCATACCACAACAAAAAAGAAGAAGGGGAATGATAAGCGCACCCTGGTTCGTCTCAAACCAGTATTTGCAATACCAAGATAAAGATTTAAAATCATTAATAATAAAATTATGGAGTTGGCTTATTTATAACGTCTAAATTTAAAAAATATGTGAAACATTTTATACCAGTGAACGACAGGCTAGCTACTCCAATTAAATAGCAACCCATTTAATGTCAATGTTATCCAGATATATGCCCCTACTGCAGAAAAGAAATATGACAATGATGTCAAATCATTCTATAGCCAATTAAAAATCTAAAAAGTAACGAAGTTACATATATTATTGGAGATTTTAACGCAAAAATTGGCCAAGGTCTAAGATCTGACCTGGTAGGTGAATATGGACTAGGGGAGAGCAATGAAAGAGGCGATAGATTATACCAGTTCTGTCAAGAACATGACATGATAATCGCAAATACATGGTTCAAATTACACAAAAGAAGGTTATACACATGGAGGGGACCAGGAGATAATTCACTACATATGACTAGAAATCAGATAGACTATATTCTGGTAAACAAGAGATTTAAGAATGGCGTCACCAGAGTAACGACATATCCTGGTGCAGATATCGGTTCAGACCATAACCCTGTAATAACTGACATCAAAGTAAAGCTCAAAAAAGTCCAAGAAAGCCCCAAAACACCAAAATTAAATATCTCAATATCCACCAAAACGTTAATAGAAAATGACCTTAACAATGAGCTAAAGAAATCAATAAATGAAAACAACACAGAAATATGGAACACATTTAAGGATTTTACCTTGAAAATAATAAACAAACACAACGTCACACAGGCACAAAAAACAACAATGGATGACTGATGAAATCCTGGAATTAATGGAGCAGAAAAGGAAACTGAAAGGTAACAAGACAGAATATAAGGAGGTGGCTAAAGAAAAATGGATGGACGATAAATGCAAGAAATTAGAAAAGTTGAATGAAAAACATGATACGTTTAATATGTTTAAAACAGTTAGAGACGTAGCTGGTCTTTATCATAGGAAAACTCTACATACTATAACTGATTCGCCGGAAAAAATGATAATAGACGAACATAAAATTCGAACAACCTGGTGTAATGATATAAGTGAACTGTATAATGATGATAGACCCGAAGAACCGGAGACTTTAGTTGAAGGTGAAGGACCAGAAATACTAAAATCAGAAATACTGCATGCTATAAAGTTAGCAAAGAACAAGAAAGCCGTTGGCCCTGATAACATACCGACAGAGATGTTAAAGCTTATAAATGAGGAGAACATTTGGTTACTAGTCAAACTTTTCAATGATGTTCAGGAAGATCAGGACTGGGAACTCGGGACGCCCTCTTTGCACTAAATGTATTACTGCAGAAATGTCGAGATCAAAGGAAAGACGTCTTTGCTGTATTTATTGACTATGAAAAGGCCTTTGATCAAGTACAGCATCACAAATTAATTACAATATTAAAAGATAAAGGAGTTGATAGTCAAGACATACGATTCATAGAAAAGTTATACTGGCGTCAAACAGCGACAGCTTGCATACGCGGAAAATCAACAGAAACATGTAAAATACAAAGAGGTGTCAGACAGGGTTGTATACTATCCACACTGTTATTTAATTTATATTCAGATAGAATATTTAAAGAAGCGCTGCATAATTTGGAATGGGGCGTGAAAGTTAATGGAATTCTGATAAATACAATCAGATATGCAGACGATACAGTTATTTTAAGTGATAACATGAATGGATTACCATGCCTTCTAAATGCCATTGATACAGTGGGAAGAGAGTTTGGCCTAAACATAAACTGTTCAAAAACAAAACACATGGTGTTTAGCCGTTTAGCACATGAAGATGCACGATTATATGTTGATGGTCATATAATTCAAAGAGTGTCCAGTTTTAAATATCTTGGTTGCTATATTACTGAACAACTAGATCCAAATCAAGAGATAAAATGTAGAATCGAGATAGCCCGCACGACATTTTTAAAAATGAGGTCATTTTTCTGTAATGATAACTTGCAACTTCAACTTCGAAAGCGCATGGTTAAATGCTACATTTGGTCAGTCCTCTTATACGGTGTCGAAGCATGGACATTAAAAATATTCACCATTAATCGTCTGGAGGCCTTTGAAATGTGGCTGCACAGACGTATACTAAAAATTCCATGGACGGCTATGCTGACAAATGTGGCAGTCCTTGAGAAAGCACATGCTCTCTCATGGACTATTTTGGACACGTAGTAAGGGGAGACCGATATAATATTCTTCAACTTATTATGATGGGTAAAATCGAAGGACGCAGAGGAATTGGTAGAAAGCAGGCCTCTTGGTTGAAGAATATCAGGGAGTGAACAAGAATAAAGAAAGCTGAGCAACTCTTTAGAATAGCTCGAGACAGAGACAGTTTGGCCATGTTAATCGCCAACGTCAAGGGGACTTGATAGGGCACGTTAAGAAGAAGAATGATAAAATTTGTAAAAAACCAATTAGTACGTGAACTATTTAATCACCAGAGAGATGAAAGCTAGCTAGAAGAGCTCACTAACTGACTGACTTTCAAAATCGCCGGTCTCTCCAAGCGTTGTATCTGAAAGAACGGTTCACTCCATCAAATATTTGAAACATTTATTTCTATTTCTTCTAAACTTATTTGTAATTTTTGTTGTGATCTCATAATTGACACTTTCAGCAAAATTCAGCTTGTTTGTTCGTTGTTAGAGATCAAATCTCTGACTACTAGACTATTTTTTTATTATTTTACATAATTTGAGGAGTATATTGTAAATTTGTGTTCAATAAATAAAAAAAAAACTTATTATAGGTAATAAAACAACTTACTTCTAAAATAAATGCACAGTTTTTTGCAAACAACGGTGATATTTTTATAACGTGACCAAATTTAAAATATTTAAAATCTATTACGAATATTTCACCCAATGTCAGATCTTCTCGATTTTTAATTTCAAATATATTCCTAAAGAGAAACGAGGAATAGTCTACAGGAACAAATAAATCAGGATCACTATCCTTAAATTTTACCACTGTTATTCTGTGTAAATCTTCGGTTAAACGTGGCAAAGGTATCATATATCTGCAAAATATAAATGAAATAAATTAGTTCGTATCAAAGAAACTTAAGATTGTTTTGGTACAATAAAATAACAAACTTGGTATAAAGCTGTAAAGGAAAGTGGGGGAATAGTGCGCACTTTTTTGCAGCAGAAAACGCTTCTGTTGTAAATTCTTTAAATATATCTTAACTACCAGTACGTTACAGTAAGATCTAATTATTTTACTTTGAATAATTAAATTATTTAAAAAAATACAAAGTGCAAAAGCGTAATAATTAAAAAAATAGACAAATATCTTTGTGCACGATAAGGGTAATCTTTGTTCCATAAGGGTAATCATGCGCACAGATTAGGAAAAATCAATGGAATAATCAGAAAAAATATTAACAAAATTGTCACAAGTATAATAATGTTAAGAAAATATATTAATTGTATATTAATTACTATTTAACTGGGAATAAGCCACAATTAAAGATAAAAATACGTTTATTGACGTTTCAATTTCCACTTCCGAAGTGGAAATTGAAACGTAATTAACGTATTTTTATCTTTAATTGTGGCTTATTCCCAGTTAAATAGTAATTAATTTAAAATGCCACAAGAAAATAGTTCAGAACAATATTAATTGTATAGTATAAAGGCAGTTAAAGAACAGGTAATCTCATGCTGCTTTATGGAAAATTTTAGAGCCAAGAAACATCCGCATACTATAATTTTCATTATAAAGTCACTGTACATTGAGTCAAAATGCAGAGTGACACACAATAGAATTAACAGCGATGAATTTGACATACTTGCTGGAGTCAGACAGGGATGCGTGCTTTCTCCGTTTCTTTTTAACATAGCAGTAGACTGTGTTTTCTCCAAACTAGACTCCGACACAAGAGGAATACAATGGATATGCCTAAACTTACTGGAATACGCCGACGATATCTGCCTGTTAGGACAGAGGTTCCAAGATGTGGCTGATCAATTGGAAACACTTTCCACTGAAGCCAATAAAGGAGGTTTAAAAATCAATATTAGTTAAACCAAATCCATGAAAGTAAATGCAAGAAATAACACGCTATTTACTATCAACAATATGCAGATTGAAAATGTAGAAAACTTTACGTATCTTGGAAGTGTCATAACGAAAAGCGAAGGTACAGAGGATGATATTCGTATAAGAATACGAAAAGCTCAACAAGCATTCAGCATGCTCAACCCTGTTTGTAGATCTGGCGAGAATACTACAAGGACAAAGATCCACATATTTCAGCCAAATGTCATGTCTGTTCTACTCTACGGATGTGGAACCTGGAAAGTTACACAAACCCTTACAGATAAACTGCAAGTCTTTATTAATAAATGTCGAATTGTTCGTATTTTCTGGTCTAACATCATAAGAAACTAATATCTAATACACCTGGCCAAACAAAAAAGGGTAGAACATCAATTAAAGCCCAGAATGGGGTTGGATTGGTCACACACTCACAAAAATAATTCCACTACTTCAAATATTACCCTAGAGTGAAATCCCCCAGAGAGGAAAAAAAGAGGTCGCCCAGTACAAACTTGGAGAAGATCCATCATGGACGAGATGAAATGAAAGCCTTAGTGCAAAATAGAAACCGATCGCGCTTTTTCACTAAAGCTCTGTACTCCACTTAGGAGTTCAAGAACCGTATGGAATATTTTTTACAACAAAAAGTCGCATTTAGCTTTCTGGAATATTCATATCTGTAAATTCTGCGCGATTCCACCACGTACAGAACACACATCTATACCATGATTTTTTCCTTTTTCCTCTTTCTCCACAAATAAAACATGTCTCATTAGCTGCAATTGATTTATCTAATGGTGATGGAATTAAGCTTATTTTAACATCGTATTCGTCTTAATTGATAATATCTGACAAATTACTGAGTCGTTTGTTATATCAGATGACTCAGGTGTTAGCTCTATCTGTACTCTCTTCTTTTTTATTTGTCTTTAAGTTGTTTTCTCTCTGGCGATTCTTTATCAAAACTTCTTTAATCAGTTGGGTTTCTTGCTCCTTTCTCTTTTCTCTTGAGATTCTCGTCCCTTAATTGCGTTTTTCCTAAGTTTTCTCCAATTTTGTCTTCATTGATGTTTTTGCAAGAATTTTCGATCCTTGCTTGTTACGAGATTTCCTTTTAATTTCTAGTGTAATCGTTTTCGCTATTATAAAAAAGAAATTTACCTTAGATGTAGAAAGCTGAACATTTCTAATGCCTAACATTTATCTATCCGACGTATTTTGATTAGACATTGTAGGAGTCCCTTCTAGAGAAGAAGCGTCTAATATAATTTCCTTTGCTTGCTTGACAGCAGCTAAATCATCCTCATCGAAATTATCGGAATTTAACGGATATATTTCAGATGCACGAAAACCTGACACTTTCTTCTCTATAGTGGTACATTTCATAAATGTTTTACTTGACAGTTCAGCAATGTTACTTTCGGTATTATTTAAAGACCTGTTTTAGACACATATTCTCTATAAAGAACATTTTTTAAAGGACTAAAAAATCTAGTCCAATGGCTGAAAATGATCTGAGCTGTGTGGTGGAAGTGACACCATATGAATGTTTTTTTCTTTGCAAAAATTATATGCATTAATAGAAATATGACTGGAGTGATTATCTAGCACTAAAAGAATGGGATCAGTTGCTGTGTGCTTAGCATGTCTTACAAAATGGCTCAACCAGTCATTAAAAAGTTCTATATTAATTCTTTCGTTTTTGTAACACTTGTATAAAGCACCAAAAGACGCAGTACTCATACAGAAAAAGATTGTGATAGTTCTTCTACGTTCGGCAGATATAGCAGATCCTACCTTTTTGGCTCCTTTAGATCTATAAACCTTTAGACATTTTTTTGGACTATTGAAATGCAAGTTTCATCTATGTTAAAAATTCTAATTGGCTTAAACTTAAAATCGTCCTTAAGTAATTTGATATTGGAATAAAATATCGTTGTTAACACTCTGATTGAGCAGCAATCCTCTTCAAACTTGTTCTTTCTGGTTGTCTTAATGCTACATCATTCCTTTTTATAAACCAATAAAGCCAATCTTTGCCTTTTTATTAAAATTTATTGAAGATATTATTTTCTTCAGCATACCTGAATACCAATCGTCAAAGTTCTTTAGGTGTTTTTTAAGTCACAAAATAATTTAGCAAGCATTATAATTTCTTAATTCATTTTCTACTTTATCAGAAAATATAGCTGTGAGACCTGTTAAAGTCGATTTAGGAATGGTGGAAGCTCTTCCTATGTCCTTTATCTTCGTTATTATCTTCGTCTTCCTATCTTCGTTATTATAATGTAAAAATCGTAGATTGTCTATTACAGACTTATGGCACTTGGAAATAAAAATGGTAATTTTAATATTAACCATTTCATTATTTGTGGAAGAATCTTGCGCATACCTATGCACTATTATCCAGCACTATTGCTCCCTATAATACTTAAATAGCACAAGTCATCACAAACAGAAAAGTATTAAACGATATAAACGAACAGATCTGCCAAAATATACGGAAAATAACATGCTTTCAATCAAGAATAAGTTCATATCAACTAAATACAGCCTACGGACTTAGCGTATTAATTTTTTGAGCAGAAAAACTAGAAGAATTCTTACAATTTTCAATAATTAAATCTTACTTAGTCCATGTGCAACGACGGATGACTTAAGATAATGGCGTCTGCCATTTACTATATCGACCGAAAGGTGTAGGATGGATTGGGTATGTAAAATCTTTCACGAAATTTTAAATACAATGCAGTGCACGATTACCCGCCGAGCACCTTTTCCCCACTTTTCCGTGTACGGTTTACAGTGTATAAAAAAATATATAATAAAACAACTCAAGGAATATAGTATAAAGAAAAACAACAACATAGTGTACAGTCCACATTATCATCATCATTCTTCTTGGCTTTATGTGGGGTATTTGAGATCATACCAAAATTAATCGCCTTTATCGACATGTTCTGCCTAAGAGTCTCCTCTGAGTCTCACAGATAATGGTTAAAATATTTTAACCTATGATCTCTCATTTTGACATCTATTATACTGCAATTGTGCTACTCCTATAGACTACTTCTAATCTACCCAATCTAAATTTTATCCTTTTTAACACTCTGCGCATAAATCTAAGCATTCCAATTTCCGCCAATACATTCACAGTTCCTCTTGTTTTTTAACCGCTTAGCATTTAGTTCCATATAAATAATGACGTTTTAATTAATGAAAGTAAAACAAACATACTTACACGACTTCTTTTACCATTTAGACGAGTCAAGTTAGTAGAAAATAAGCGTTTTTTCGTCACAAGTGTATAGACGGGTTTGACAGTTGAAATGGATAGTATGAGATATTACAAAAAGACTCTCATCTAGGGATTCATGAATTTTTTAGTGGAACTATTTTTAAATAAACAATTAAGACGTCAATATCATTATTTTGCTCATAACTTATAAACTTGTCTATTTAGAGATTTGACGTCCACAGACGAGTTGTTGAGAAAGAAAAAATACACAAAATGAGATATACTAAATTAAAATCGGTTAATAAACAAAAAAGTTATTGCATAATAACCAAGCAAAACGGCTGTTTTTGATTATTGTTAATAACTCTTTTAATAATCAATAAAATTTATTTAAATGTATCTGAACTTAAAGATCTCATCGTGTTCGAAGTGTGTGCAAAAGATAGGCTAGATCCGTCAAATAGTTTTTGCACAATTTAATTTGTTTATAAGATTTTTTGAAAAACGCACAAATTTCTAAGGCCGGTCCAGATAATTTGACTGAATGGATCTTAATAATCCGGGGCTTATTTTCTTCGATGAGACATATATTAATATCCTGTGGAAAAAAAATTAAAAAAAAATACGTTTATGTACACAAAATGATTTATTAATAAATAGCACTTTTTAAGTTTATAAACATTTACAATAACTCCGTACTGTTTAGTTTAAATTAAATGGCAATAAAATATTCGGAAGGCAAGTTTAAAAAACAACAACTTAAAAAAAAAAAGGTCCTGCGACCATTAGGAGCCGAGTTAGTCCTTTTTTTTTTAAAATCACTCTTACGTCAATGAACAACATTAAGGGCTGAAATTAACCAATCTTTTAGAAGAAAAGTCAAAGTTATTCACAAAATGTTTAGCAAAAAAATAATTGAAAATTGTTTAAACAGGAGTGTTGTAAACGAAGAGTACTTTGCGTTCCGACTAGAATGGTAGGAGTGGGGATTGCCGATTGCACACAAGCCGCGCTCTCCAAAAAAGTCGAGCGCACGGTTTCAAAATAGAGTGCTTGGAAAAAAATGACATATCTCGGGTTCTAGTGGACCAAATTTGTTCTTTTTTTTTTAAACTGGGGTACAACGTTAAAATAATAACATTTAACGTACTTTCATTGCAAAATTATTCAAAACAAAGCAGCTAATGACTACGGAATGTACAAATTTTTTCTTAAGTCGTCTTTTTATTGTTATTTTTCTATTTATTTATTTCAAATATGATTATATTAAATAAATGTTATAAGTAAATGAACATTTTGAATAATGTTTACTAAAAATTTATTAATGAAATAATAAATTAATTTTATGTTATTACAGAAGTTGAAATTTTGTGTAGTGATTTTTTAAAATAATTTAATTTACTGTAATTTTCTACGCTTAATTTCTATATCGTCACTGCTACTACTATGTAAACATTCATCTTCACTTTCATCTTCAATTTCACTTGTATTCTAACATTCATAAATCATTTCATTTTCATTGTCGCTATTCTCATCAAACCCAGTTAAATACATTTCATCAATTATCTCTTGTTCATCTGTTGTATCGTTTTCTTCTTCATTAATAATTTCATAAATATTAGTAGATTATAATAGTAAAATAATATTATATTCAAAGTTAACCGTATATTATTCAGACAACGTGGTACAACCGTGTGTTTATATTAATATATATCACAACACGTAGTTTTTTTTAATATTCAGATGGATTTTACTTACCATTAATTATTTGTAACAATTATTAAATAAAACAAAACACTAAATATTTCAATACAACAAACCAGTTGTATAGTCGCAGGAAAATGTAATGTCGCAGTTGTAACTTAAACGGCCTAACAGCATCTGCTTTCGACGTGCGCTCGACGCTCGACTTTTTTTAGAGCGCGGCTTGAGTGCAATCGGCAATCCCCACTGCTTCCATTTGAGTCGGAACGCAAAGTACTCTTGGTTTACAACACTCCTGTTTAATCAATGTTCAATTATTTTGTTTGCTAAATATTTTGTTAAAAACTTTGACTTTTCTTCTAAAAGATTGGTTAATTTCAGCCGTTAATGTTGTTAATTGACGTAACAGTGATTTAAAAAAAAAAAAGGACTAACTCGGCTCCTAATGGTCGCAGGACCTTTTTCTTTTTTTTTAAGTTGTGTTTTTTAGCCAGCTTTCCGAATATTTTATTGCCATTTAATTTAAACTAAATAGTACGGAGTTATTGTAAATGTTTATAAGCTTTAAAAGTGCTATTTATTGTTAAATCATTTTGTGTACATAAACGTAATTTTTTTTAACTTTTTTTTCCATAGGATATTAATATATGTCTCAACAAAGAAAATAAGCCCCGGATTATTAAGATCCATTCAGTCAAATTATCTGGACCGGCCTTAGAAATTTGTGCGTTTTTCAAAAAATCTTATAAACAAATTAAATTGTGCAAAAACTATTCGACGGATCTAGCCTATCTTTCGCACACACTTCGAACACGATAAGGTCTTTAAGTTCAGATACATTTAAATAAATTTTATTGATTAATAAAAGAGTATTTAACAATAATCAAAAACAGTGGTTTTGCTTGGTTATTATGCAGTAACTTTTTTGTTTATTAACCCATTTTAATTTAGTATATCTCATTTTGTGCATTTTTTTTTTCTCAACAACTTGTCTGTGGACGTAAAATCTCTAAATGGACAAGTTTATAAGTTATGAGCAAAATAATGATATTGACGTTTTAATTGTTTATTTAAAAATATTTCCACTAAAAAATTCATGAATCCCTAGATGAGAGTCTTTTTGTAATATCTCATACTACTTATTTCAACTGTCAAACCCGTCTATACACTTGTGATGAGTAAAAACCTAACTTGATTGGCCTAATTTGCATATTATCTCGGCAAGGATGCTTATTTTCATACATTTCTGGCAATAAGTTTGGAATTGTATAATACATGTCTAAATTCTGTTTTGTTTTTTCGATGCTAAATTTGCAGTTTGTTAAAAAATATTCTATCGTATTATCACCTAAAAATATATTTAATCATAGTATACTTAATAGTATTGCAATATTATCAAAATGCTATTTTTAATTGATTTATGCCTCAGCTCCAAAAAGTTATTGGCGTGTTACACGTCAAATCTAGTAACGACTTTCAATATCTTGCAATTGCCACGCTATCTTGATGCGCAGTAAAATTACAGGAACTATATTATTAGTAGAGGTAAAAAACTCGACCTGTAAACTTGGGTCTGCGAGATTTGTCTTGAAGAATAGTGACAAACAAGTGCAAAAACGTGTTGTAACAGAAACATGTGTAAGTTTAAGCACTACACAAGAAATTTCGAGGGAAATTAAGTGCATTGAAGAAGGTACGGCATCATTATTTAGTACTCCATATAAAAAACGAAATAGTTGAGCTTTAAAATTTAAGTGGGAAGAATGCGATAAAGGAGTGCTTTGTCAATTTTATATAAATTTTTATACTACCAAAAAAAAACATGCGTATAACGGAATACAACTACACTGGATTGTGTGAATATTTAAGAAAAACCATACAGAATATAGGGTTTCGTTGGAAAAAAACAAGAAGTAATAAAAAACTTATGAAAAAACCGGAAATTTAATAATTGAAAAGAAACTTTCTTCGAGATATTAAAAAATAGAGAAGAGAAGCGACCTATAATATACATGGACGGAACTTACATTCATTGTTCCCATACTTGAAAAGTTGGAACTCCAATGACGGATTACATGCTCCGTTTTCAAAATGTCAGAGACTGATAAAGTGAAATGAATAATAAACATTATAAAAAATAACTTAAGGAAAAGCTTGATTTCAAATTTTCTCGACATAGTGTACTAGTTGATGACAGTGCCTCTTATCACAACGTGCATGCTAAAAAATGTCCTAATATGCGTTCAACAAAAAATGCAATGAACGACTAGCTAAGACAATACACTGCCTTTTTCAGAACATATATTAAAAGTTGGTTGTTACAGCCTCAAACAAAGCCATAAATGCAGATTTAAAGTTTATGAAATTGAGAGAAAATTGTGTAATGGTGGTCATTCGGTGTTAAGGCTACCTCCTTATCATCCAGATCTCAATCCCATAGAATTACTGTGGACATCTCTTAAGAAATACATCAAACATGATTTTTAAGATTGTTATAGAGAAGACTAACCTTTTGTGACTAGTTGTAAGTAAGCAAAGCAGCGATTAGCTATTCTTTTAAATAAAAAATAATGTATAAAATTTATAAAAGTGTAGTGGACTTACATGGTATTTCGGGAAGGTGCTTCTGCGTTTTACACCATTTTCTTATAATATCAATTTCTACGCCAAGTTGAAATTCCGATTTTTTCCATTCCTCCCTTATTTTTCTCCGATCTGTTAGTAGAAGATTTGAGGTCGTCAACATGGTGTTCCTTTTCTGTAACAAAATTTTATATTAATACTATATCCATTTTAAATAACAAATTTTGGCAAAACTTTTTACGACATAAAGAAATACCTAGACTGTGTTAGATCAAGCACTAAAACCCAATATTTAAGCAAATTCTATTAGGTTGAACACCTTAGGTGTTTTCATAGAAATTTATATACTTACTTTGAGTGTATTACGAATCATATAAAGGGCGTAGCGCCAGGAAATCGCAATTACCCATTTGTCATAAGAGATACGAAAAAAATTATTTAATTATAAGTTAGAGCATAGCTAGGACCAAACATTTCATGTATACGGGGCCACCAATGTAAACAGGTTAAAATGCACTGGTCTTTTTTAATGGAACACCCCATATATTTTTACACTTTTAGAATCTTCTCGATGTTTTCGCTTTAGCAATATAAGGTGTTGCAGTGTAATAAGAGATAGTTTAAAAGATAATTGTGTTTTTCAATAAATTTGGTAGCCAAATTAACACCCTATAGATTTGACAAAAAAAATATTTAAATCGCTTATTTCAGAAACAACCTAAGTCACGTTTTGGCGATTTTAAGTTTATAACACCAACGTGTATTTCTGTGGGTTACACACAATTGAATGCAGAATACTCCTAACTCCCGTAAGCATAGTTGATTTTATATCGATTTAAAATATTCATATATTTCTGAATCCACCTTAGTCGCGGACTAAGATTGTTTCTGCACTAAATTGTCAGTTGTCATTTTACATATCAACCTTTACCATAACCTATAAAATCCATAGTGTTTCAATACTAAAGGCCAAAAAAGAAAATTTGACCGCACTGCTTCAGTGGGTGGAGTAACCGTTTAAACTATTTTACCAAAATATTATTCAAACATCAGCAACTAAGAAGAAATCCAAGAAAGTCACAAAATAAACTGTATGATATTAAAATTGTTTAGAACGCTTTTTTTTTGATAAATTCTTACGTTTTTTTTTCATTCTCCTGCAAACTGTCCGAATGTGACTTGGGTTGTTTCTTAAGTAAGCGATTCATTTATGTTCAAAAGATTTTAAATACAGTCGACTATTGTCTAAAATTACTAACATAGCGAAATATTTAAGTTTAGTATACAGGATTTGCCGAAACTTGGAATGAGTATTTTCTGAGAATGAGTTCTCTCAAATGGTATACCCTGTATTTTAGTATTGTAATGAAATAATATTTTATGTTACTCTAGTATTTCTTAAACATTTCTTTTACTTCATCATCAACTTATTTTAAAATTTTTCTAAAGCATTTAATAGACAAATTAGAAATATTTTATTTTTAAACTTTCCAATTACCTTTTCAAAAAGTAGGTACTGGTTTGGCTATCACACTTTCTTAAAATAAAACCACAAATAAAAATTATTTCAAAATTGAACTAAACTATAGTTAAACATAGTACCTTTGTGCGTTACTGTTATTTATTACCTTTTTATTACTACTTAATATTTCTTTATGTATATTTAATGTAAATATATTTTTAACAACGTTTTATCAGTTGCTGAAGGCTACAACTTAACCCAACCGATAAAACACATGGATAATTAAATCTTTTACCTAATAACATCATTTTTAACCTTTTCTTATTTTAATAGCTATTGAGCAAATCGTGTTAAATCCAAAATATATGAGTTCTAGTTATGCATGGCAAATTTAACTAAATCTAGTTAATTACATTAAATCTAATTGACATTTCAGAATTTTCAATTTTTAAAGCATTTTGATGGATGTATTTCCACTTACTTCAACCAATTCACCCTTAAAAGTGAGTGCCCAGAGGCATACTAAAATTTCATGAGATTTTTGTTGTGTCATGAGAAATTTATTTCTGATGTGTTTCCACAAAATATGAGACATTTGTCTGAAACTCCTCGAGTTTATCGAACTCAAGAGTTTATTCTTACATGAGACAAGGTGTCTCTGACAGCACTGTTTCCACAGTATCACAAATAATCCGTAACTTGAAAGATGTAAACAAAAATTGGTTCACCAAATGTTCGAAACATACCTCGGTCCTAGAAGGTGGACAGAACCGCCTTCCAGTCTCGGTTATGCAGGACTCCTCCAGCGTGGCCATGATGATATTCCGAGACCGCGTGCAGCGGTTGTCACCCTTCTCAGCGGTGAATTACTAGCCGAATCACCCTGGTTGGGACGCAACATCGGCACGGCCGATCTTTTTCTCAATAATTTCTCAGAATTCTCAGTACGACTGAATTGTTTTCTCCCTCTGTTCTTCCCTGTTCATATTCAATCTTGCTCCTTCTCATTCTGCCTTATCTTCTTGCTTGCTCCTAGGTACCCTACATTTTATCAGATTCGTCCACTGCGCCACCTTTCTCGTCTAGTCCCTTTTCCTCTTACCACACGCTAGATACATTATACTAAATACTCTAATAATACAACTAATAAATAGAAAAATATTACAAACTAATACAACCTAGATTGAATCCTAACATTTATTGTGTGTTTTTGGATATAATTCAAATACCAAATTATACGAGACATTAGAACAAAAAATTAAATTTATATAAAAGGAAAACGTGCTCATAAAATAACCAAATTATAAGCATCAACTATTTTTGACATTTATTTTCTATATTAATTATATAGGTTGTAAAGTAGGATTGTAAACGAATTAAATGCCATCTTTAACCTTTAAAAAAACTCTCTTCCAAACCGACTTAATATATCATATTTCGCTGCCGAAGGTTAAGTCAAGATTTTCAGCCACGCCGACACGTGGCAAAGAAATTCATTAATAGTACCTAGTATTTATTTTCTTTTCTTTATCATACAAATTTAATCAAACATTACTTATTTATACAGAAAAAAAGCATAATATTAAATTATGTTACTTATTAATGTTTAATTTTGCATGTTACGTATGTTATGCATTGTTATATTATATTGTTGCATTTGTATTAAATTGGATTTATGTCACTCTTAACCCTTAGCTGGTTATACCAAATTTTCTATCTTAATTGGTGACAAGAGGTCTCTCAGATTCGTTGTCTATATTAGGGTAAATTTAATATACGACATCAATTTTTTTTTATTAAATCTAGTAATTTTTACCATTTTCCATTAAAATACGTTTAAAAATATACACAAACAATTTCTTGATCAACTCATGAACGTTTTAAATATGCTGTTGACGCCCACCAGTTTACAGGTCCTAGTGACAAAATGCGGTAGGTGTCACACATGATGTTTCTTATAGTATCATGGGTGTCACATACCACATTTGTACAATAAGGTTGAAGAATCTCAATGAGATAAGAGCACATACAACAATTGTGTAATACATTTTTCATATTTAGTGAAGTTATCACATTTCGGATGGGGTAGCGGGTAGGAACTCCTTTGGACAGTCCTACCAGGGTAAATGAATCAATCCCTGCCCTCCGCAGATTCCATGAGTGTCTTGACCCGGGAAACTAGTACCCGCTTAGGGTTTCTTGTCCAGGGTCTGCGATAAAGACTACAATGGTATCTACGGCAGAGAAGAACATCTTCGGTGTGTATGGTGGAAGTGACGACCAACATTTTTAGCGTTCATATAAAATTAAAAGGGTGGACGGAACCCGTTAACGGTAGATCCCGCAATTCGTCTAGCAGAAGGAGACTCTGAACCCAAACCATTGGTTCTCCAGGTTGGGGGTTAAGACATTGAACTAACTCCCCAGTACTTGTAAAAAACATAAAAATGTTATAAGACCCAATCACACGCCTCGGAATAGGACGGCACAACAAAGACGACATAAGCTTCGAAAAAGGACACGATTTTTTGTTACATGGAACCTTCAAGGTACCTATATCAAAAAAACTCAATAAATTCTTGCATTAATTACCAGAACTAAAAATAGACATAGCAGTAATTACTGAAACAAAAAAGAAGGGAACTGGCTCTGAAAATCTAGGAAAATATGACCATTTCTATAGTGGAGTACCAGAAGAGCTCAACAAAGAATTTCTTTAATGATACACAGAATACTAAGAAAGTTCATAACAACCTGGGAAGCCATAAGTGAAAGATTAATGAACAACTATGTGTGTATAAGCAAAAAATAACGACGCACTAGCCAATGTAGAGACGCATTTTTTGCAACAGCTTTACAAAAAAATATCAAAAATAAGTAAATCGTGAGAAATAATATTAATGGAGGATATTAACAGTAGAGTAAAAAGAAAAGATGCGGATGAAACAGTAGGAAAATACGGAGAAGACACCACGAACAACAATGGTGAAAGATTGATAGATTTATTCAACAAGAATCAATTCAGAATCTTAAGTGGATACTTTCCACATAAACTGAAACTGAAAAAACCAGACTGAGAGTACCTACAAGATGTAAGAGTTTAGAAAAGCGTAACATGCGGTAGCGATCATGATTTATTACGTTCAAAATACAGTTTCCAATCCAAAGAGAATAGAAAGAAACACATATAGACATAAATAAGACAGAAAAGATACAGTAACGAAGATACAATATCAGAAGCCTAGATGAAGAAAGTACCCAAGAATTATTCAAAAATAGATTGGATGAGAAGTTACAAATTTTCGCTCCTAAGAATATTGACCAGTTATATGAATATTTAAAAAACTGTTTAAACGAAACAGCATGGAACGAAGAAATGGGATACGATACTACATAGAACCCAAGGTAATCAAACCATACTGGTGCGATAACGAAATAGATAAGGAAATCAAATGTAAAAGACAACTATACCAACACTATACTAGCTCCAAATCATTACAAGACAAAATAAAATATAAAGACAAACAAGCAGAAGTACGAAGAAAAATCTCTAAGAAGAAGAACGAATCTTGGGAAAAAAACTGCCAACGAATAAATACTTATTTAGGAGGAACCAAAAGCACAGAAAGCTGGAAACTGATAAAAAATTGAGAAAAGAATAGAATAGGGAAGTAATACATAAGCCTGCATAAAACCTGAAG